CAGTCCTTCCCAGGTTCTCGGACGTAAGAAACGTGGCCCAGCCCGTCTCAGACAGGGATGGCACCAGGGCCTCCCTTACAGATGGACCGTTCCCTCCTCCTCAATCCGGGGGCACCTGCAGGGATCCCCCCCTTCAGAGCGTCTGAAATTCCACCCCGGAAAGGCCTTGACCTAGATTCAGCACCGCCTTCTCTCTCTTACACTACCGTTTGGTCTAATTTACTTCCCTTAAACAGGCATTGCCTCTGCTTAAGTCACACGACCCCAAAAGGCACGGGACGGGAGCACGGAGCTCGCCTGCGTCCACTCCGTCTCACCCCCCGCTGCTCGGGGCCCCTTCACCGTCCTCCCGGTGGTCCGACACGCTCTAAGGAGCGTCAGGCTCCTGGGAGTCCTAGGTCCAATCCTGGCCTCTCCCGTGGACCTGTTGCCCCGTCGTGTGCGCCGCCTGACGCAGTGGGGCCAGCAGGTGGCTCGCACCCAGGGTGGTGGCTCAGTCAGCGTTTTCAGGGCCGCTGCGTCTCGGGATCAGGAGGCCGCTCTGGGGAAACGGCCTTCGTCGTGAGCCCGCTGAGCAGACCGGCGGCACCGCACCCGGCGCGGCTCCTGCCTGCACGCCTCTCCACCCGGTCTTGTCTGCTCGGTGCACAGATACTTGTCATCCTGGAGCCCAGCCCAGAACACAGAGCCGGCCTAGTGAGGGAGGGGGTTCCTCCTGTCCGTCAGCAGAGAGTGAATAACCACCTGAACCAGCCTCTCTCAGGGCTGTGCACGGCGAGGACGCTTGCCGGCTGCCCACGGGCAGTGGGCTCAGGTTTCTCCTCCCGGTGTTAAATACCCGGGTTCTGGTCCTCCCTTCCCTCGGCTCCAATAGCGTGGAATCCTGTGTGCTCCAACAGGAGCCTGTGCTGGCGCTCAGATGCCCCGTGTCCCGGCGCTCCCTCGAGAGAGCCCTCGGCTGCCTGCTGAGCACGGCCGGCCTCCGTGGGCCCTGTGCGAGGCTGGTCTGCTCCTCAGTTGGCGCCACACTTCATCCGCCCAGCGGGCGGGGAGAGAGCCGCCAGGACTCACGGGACAGAGTCGAGCGAGCCAGACAGGAACGTGGAGTCCCAGCAGGAGCAGAAGCTGGAACGGACCCCCCGCTGCCCAAGTCCCCCGGACCACCGGTCTTCACGAGGACAGGTGTCACCCAGCGCTCCCAAGTCCCAGAGGAGGCCCTGGGGCAGACGGCAGCTCGTCACCCGCAAAGGAGCCTGGGACACATCAGGGCCTTCTCAGCAGACACCTGGCAGGCCAGGACGGGAGGGGGCGTGCGCACTGTCCCTGGCAAGGCTGTCCTACAAACACAGGGCACATCCCCAGGCCGACGCCGGGGTCTTGGCCGCCTCACAAGCAGTGCCGACGGGAGTTCTCCAAGGAGGACGAAGGCGAAGCCCACGGCAAGGCGAGGCTGCGCTCGGACTCAGAACGCCTTCTGCAGTGCTGGTGTCGGTCACTCCAGTACAAGGTTAGAGGCTGGGGCCGGCGCTGTGGAGTAGCAGGTAAAGCCGCCACCTGCAGTGCCGGCAGCCCACACGGGCGCTGGTTCTAGTCCCGGCTGCTCCACTTCTGGTCCAGCTCCTTGCTGGTGCTCCTTGGAAAGCAGCAGAAGATGGCCCAAGTCCTTGGGCCCCTGCACCCATGTGGGAGACTCAGATGAAGCTCCTGGCTCCTGGCTTCAGACTGGCCCAGCTCCAGCCGTTATGTCCATTTGGGGAGTCAACCATTGGATGGAAGATTCTCTCTCTCTAACTCTGCCTTTCAAATAAATAAATAAATAAATAAATCTTTTTTAAAAAAGTTAAAAGACAAAAGTATTGAAAGCATAGTTACATATAGTTACGCTGACATAGTGTCAGTGGTTATCCAGGATGTGAAAGACGTAAATTGTGACATCCGTAACAAAATGGGGGAGGAGTCATAGAGGGTTTTTTATTTGGTTGAAGTTAAGCTTTTACTAGCTGAATACGTTAGCAGACTGTTACAAATCCGTTTAGCACAAGCATCCTGGTAACCACAAGCCTGCAGCAGACACTCAGAAGGCAGGAACACGGCTGGGAGGAGTCATCGCAGCGGAGAGGAGGGGAGCAGCGGGGACGCCTCAGTACTGGCGGAGTTGGCCTCGTCCGGAGCAGGTTGAGCCGCTGCCCGGGAGGCCAGGCTCCCTTACCAGAGCCAGTCCAGGCCCCTCTGCTCCACTCCCCGTCCAGCTCCCTGCTGGTGTGTCTGGGAGAGCAGTCAAGGCTGGCCCGAGTGCTTGGGTGCTGCAGCCCGAGTGGGAGACCCGGATGGAGTCCTGGCTCCTGGCCCCCCAAATATTGAAGCCAATTGGGGGCCGGCGCCACGGCTCACTAGGCTAATCCTCCGCCTGCAGCGCCGGCACCCTGGGTTCTAATCCCGGTCAGGGCGCTGGGTTCTGTCCCGGTTGCCCCTCTTCCAGGCCAGCTCTCTGCTGTGGCCCGGGAGTGCAGTGGAGGATGGCCCGCCCAAGTGCTTGGGCCCTGCACCCCATGGGAGACCAGGAGAAGCACCTGGCTCCTGCCTTCAGATGAGTGCGGTGCGCCGGCCGCAGCACGCCAGCCGTGGCAGCCATTGGAGGGTGAACCAACGGCAAAGGAAGACCTTTCTCTCTGTCTCTCTCACTATCCACTCTGCCTGTCAAAAAAAAAAAAAAAAAAAAAAAGCCAATTGGGGAATGAGTCAGTGGAGGAAGGTATCTCTCCATCTCTCCTCTCTCATCTCTCCACCTCTCTCTCTCTCTCTCTCTGTCACTCTGCCTTTCACGTAAGTAAAATAAAAAATGAAAGAAAATTGCAGTATCATTATCAATAGATAATTAAGTATAAGTGGATTATATTTCCCAGTCGTAAGATGTAAGTGGGGTAGCTATTGGGTGCAGCTGGGACCCCCCGGGTGCCCACACCGCTCCTGGTGCCTCTGTCAAGCCCTGGCTGCACTCTGGAGTCCGGGTGATGGCTCCTCCGGTGCTTGGGTCCCTGCACCCACGTGGGAGATCTGGATGGAGCCCCGCGCTCCTGGCTTCAGCGAAATGTTGGGCTGGGGGCAGGGAGAGGCCCTACATGGGGAGCAAGTGCACGGTGACTCCTGTGGTGGATTTAACAAATGCCGCTCTTACGTATGACGTCAGTGACCACCCGAGGCTCTTGTCATGGGCTGCCAAGGCTGTGGAAGCCTCTTGAGTATGTGGTAAAGTGTACACGTGTGTGGTACAGCGCAGGTATACAAAGTCGCCACAAAAGTGTGTGGAAAATGCAATTGAAAGATAATGTGCATTCCATGAACTTTTTGGAGATTCTGCATTTACAGTTTCACTTCTCGCCCAAATCCCAGTCAAACTGGGACTGGGGGAGGAACCCACTCGTTGGTGCGGACGGCGGGGCTGCGCTGGCTGTCCTGGCCCCAGTGGTGCCGACGGCGGGCCTGCGCTGGCTGTGCTGGCCCCGGTGGTGCCGACGGCGGGGCTGCGCTGGCTGTGCGGGCCCCAGTGGTGCCGATGGACGGGGCTGCGCTGGCTGTGCGGGGGTGGGGGGGCCCAGTGGTGCCGACGGCGGGGCTGCGCTGGCTGTGCGGGCCCCAGGCACCGCCTTCCAAGCACAACGGCTGATTTGTGTTGGGAAGCAATCACAATTTTCACTTCAAAAGGTGAAATATTTCACCTGAAACTTTTACAAAATATTCTGTCTCCTTTAATACATTTAAAAATGTTTCTTACATGAAATGGATAGAGATTGATCTTTTATCAAAGGTGAATTTTTAATCCTTGTAAAATTGAAAGATTAACATCGTCAGCAAAGAGCTACGTGTCCACCGTCCCGCATTCCCTCTGGTTTCCCCGGGGTGCTGTACAAAGAGCATTGTTATGTGAGGAAACGCGGATGCCCACGGGCTGGCCCTGTCCTGTGACCGGTGAGGCCTTCCAAGTCAGGACGGGGAAGCAGGAACCCCGGGTCCCCTCCTGCAGCCAGGGGCTTGTTCCTGAGTGCCCAGGGCCGCAGTGCAGATGCCCTGGGTGAACAGAGCAGCCTTCTCCGCTGTCAGCCACAGCTGGGTCAGGAGGAGCAAGACGGAAACACCCCAGCGTAACAAAGCCAGGACCTGGGAACTCGGAGCCACCCCGAAGCCCGGGGCACAGAGAGAGACTGAGCCGCAACAGTGGCCCCGGGCCCTGCTTCCAGCGCCCAAGGGACTCCCTCCGGCTCTGTGGGTCCTGCAGGTCCTAACCTGGAATGGCTGACCAGAGGCCACTGAGAGCCCTGTGTGCAGGGAGCTGCGAGCCAGGAGGCTGCGGCCCAGGTTCAGTGCAAGAGCCGGGGACGGGGTCAGGCTGGGCAGGTGTGGAGACCGCTGGGAGGGAGTCAGATAACCAGGGCGGGCGGGCAGGGGGGGGGGGTGTGGCACCTGCAGCAGAAGCCGGCCGACTTGGTCTCACTCCACTTCTGAGCTCACAGAAACGGGGATCAGTGGGTGTTCTAGAAAAACAGCAGGGCCTCGGGGTGCCTGGGACCCCACAGAGGGGTGCCCCCAAGACCCTGCTGGGGTGTACAGGCAGGCCTTGGGTTTAATGCTAAGCATTGTTTAGCGGGGGGCAGCCGCTTCCCAAGAAATCCCCCTTCTGCCTCACTTGTCTCTCCCTGGGGTGGGCTGGGCACCAGGGCTGGCCTCGGGTGCCAGGGGTGTCTAGTGCGGGGATCTGCAGGAACCCCCAGGAAAACAACCCTCTCTGTCCAAAGTGATTTTTGCCAAGAGCTCACGGGCCTTGGGATGAGATGGGAGCGGTCAGCGTGGACCAGGGCTCCTCCGGCCTTGCCTGTGGGCTGCGCGCCACTCCAGTGCCAGGTGAGCGGCGGGCTCGTTCAGCAGCCCTGTCCATGTACCCCAGGTCACATGGGGTCCTCACGATGGTCCTCACGATGCTGACCGTTGAATAGACTGGGGGGGGGGGCTCCCAAGTGCGCGGGCACGGGGCGAGTCGTGGACGTCCTTGCAGCCGTTGAGTAAGATCTGCCTGCGGACAAAGGACCCCGGTGGGCACCCTGCGGCCCGGGGCCAGCGAAGGCGCCTCCGTCCGGAGGATGCAGGAGCGGGGGAATGGCCCGGGCGAGGGCCAGGCGGCGTCCGCGGCCGGCCGGGTAACGACACTCGCGCGCGGGCGCCCTCGCCCGGCGTTCCGGCGAGCACGCCGAAGCTGGGGCCGGGGAGAACCGGGGAGGAGGAGGAGCCGTCAGGCCCCGCCGCCGCCCGGGCCCCGCGCCCCGCGGGCCGGGAAAAGCGAAAGGGCGTCAGGGCCTCCCGCGCGCCGCTCCAGGAAGTCGCGAGCAGGAAGCGCCGGCGGGGCCGCGCCGGCTGCGGTGCGGGGCCTCGGCTGCGCAGGTGAGACGCGGGGCCGGGAGCCGGCGGGCGGTGCGGGACCCCTCCCCAGAGGCGCACCTGCGGCCGCCGTGCCGCAGCCGCGCGCACCTGCCACGCGCGCGCCCTAGCCGGTAGCTGGGCAGCGCTTCTGCGCCGCCCGGCTCGGGCCCCGTCCTCTCTCTTTTCATTTTTGGTTTGCTTTGATTTTTATTTTGTTTTGTTTGGGAGAAGGCGGGGGGCGGTCTCAACCTCCCTTCGCTGAGGAAAGTGAAATACGGGGTCTGCTTAGAGGGATGGCCCCAGGCGACAATGCCGGGCGTTCCCGGACCTGACGCCGCAGGGCTTGGGGCAGGGGCGCCGGGGGAGCGGGTGCTGGGCGGAAGCCCCTGGCCGGGGCGAGCGTAGGTGACCTGCGGGGGCTCTCCCCACCCGCAGGAGCCCCCTCATTGTCTGCCGCGAGATGGGGAGTGGGCGTGCCCGACGCATTCGCCTCCTCCGTGACTCGGCACGGCACCGAGTCCGGGAGGAGCCGGCGCCTGAGTCCCGGCCAAGGCTTGGGCGCCCGCGCCCTGGGCTCCGGCTCGTCCCCGTGTGGAACAGCCGGTTCCCGAGCCCGTGGGCCTCCTGGCCGGCGCGAGCGACTGCGACCCGCGGGGGTGACAATGAGGACTTAGCACGCAGGGAAGTCCCCCAGCCGGGGCGGCCGCGGTCCCGGTGACCCGAGGAGGTACAGGCTCAAGATTTGCATTTGAAAGGCGGCTCCTGGAAGCCCCTTCCCCCACCCAGGTCTGGATTTCCTTAGGGGGATTCTGAGGGGCCCTGTCCTGCCTGCCCTTGAGCTTGCATTGTGTGAAGTTGGGAGTTGGGAAAGATACTGGGTCCCCCCCAACCCCCTTTTAGACAGAGAAAGCAGGACTCCAGACGGCAGGTGCCTCGTGCAGTTTGTGTGGAGCCCTTGTGCCCTGGCGGGGAGCTGTGGCCCGGCTCACTCTGGAGTTGTCTTCTGTGTCTTGAGTCAAAGAAGAACGATGCGTGGAAACTTGTGGGGAGTGGGGGTGGGGAAGGTGCATTTCTTACTCTTTGTCTTGGAGGTAACCTTTTGTCGTTGTAAGCATTATTGAACTACCCGTGGGGTGCTGTGACTGCTAGTGTCACACGCAGGAGCCGCCCCTGGGCACCGCGGCTGGACCGCAGGTGCCTGGGAGAACCCCGCTGTGTTTGTTTCGCTGGGCTGGGCTGGGCTTTCCCGGAGGTGAGGTCTAAAGCTGTGTCCGCGACGGAGTGGAGGAGCCGTGCTCCGAAGGGTGTTCGCCAGGTTGCAGCGGAACCAGGGTTCTGGGCCTTTCCCGGGGGAGGGGGGGCGGCTGAGTTCCAGGGGACCCCAGGGAGCGGCTGATTTTTATTTGTATTTTTTTGTCTGTGCCCAGGCTGTGTGCCGGAGCCAGGGCTCCTACCAGGTCCTGTGCTCCTCTGCTCTGGCCGGCAGGAGGAAGTGGTGGCCGGGAGAGGTGACCCGGCAAACAGGACCAACTGGAATTTGCCCCACAACATCCAGCAGCCCCAGCCCATTTCTCCGCCTGTGAGAGGGATGCCTCCGCTGCTTCCCTCGTTCACAAACCCCCGGGGGCCGGGCTCGGGGGAGGGGCCTCGCCTAGCTGAGCTGTGAACACCCTGGTTGTAGGCACTGTCCTCACACTCCTGCTGCTGTCCTGGGTTTTAGCCGGGAAGGTCAGGGAGCGAAAGGGTTAAGTGACTTAGGGCCTGCAAGGGAGCAGAGGGGTTAAGACCTTCACAGGCAGGCGCACCGAGCCCCAGGTCGGTGTGGGGCGGAGGCGTTCCCGGTGGACTGGTGCTGGGTGTGCTTCTCCCTGCGGGGGGAGGGGTGGGGGAGGGGCCGCACCTGGGCTCTTCGTGGCTCTGTGACAGGACGGCCACTGAAGAGTGCACTCGAGAGGGATGGGCTGGGGGGCTAAAGAGAGTGACTTGGAAACGCGAGCCTGGACGCCAGGACCTTATCGGGCAGGGGCCCTTATCAACTTCAGCTCTGACTTCCTAAAGAGGTCGTTTTGCACAGCCTCAGGGGTGACCCCGGGACAGAAGACAGGGAGGCACAGACGGGTGGAGCCACTCCCACAGCACCTATGCGATGCATTTCCATTGCTGTCACAACCACAGTTGGATGCTTGGATCCCTCTGCACGCGGCCCAGTTCCGTGTTCCTCTCCATCACAAGGGCTCAAGGGTGGCTGGGTCCACGGTGGGTGGCCTGGAGCGAGGCTGGGGCCCTGCTCTGATTACAGGGACTGGAAGAGTGAAGGGGTTCGAGGCCTAGGCAGGAGGCCGGCCTGTGACCACGGCTGCTCCGGTGAGCTCTGAAGCGACCAGCCTGGGGCAGGTGCCGCCCCGCTGGGAGCCCTGGTGTTCAGTCCTCAGGGAAGCGCCATGGTAACTTCCCAGCTCCTCCGTGGGTGCCCTCGTCCGGACGCCTGACTGCAGTGTCTCTGCTCCCTCCCACAGAGTGCGGAGCCGGTGCCCACATTGCAGCCCTGTCACCCTGTGCGGAAGTGCAGGGCCCTCGGGAAGAACCCGGCGCGGGACCCGGAGCCTGTTCGAGATCTTCAGGCCCCGGTCGGTGGCAGCGTAGATGGCTCGACTCCCCGCCGGCATCCGCTTCATCGCCTCCTTCTCCAGGGACCAGTGGTGAGTCCTGGTGGGCGGGGGGCTGCGTGGGGCTCACTACCCACGGGGGAGCCTCTGACTGCCCAGTGGCGTCCTTCCTCTGTGGCATCGGGGCTCCCTCGTGGTCTTCCATGTAACTGCAGAGAGGGGCCCACTGACTCCTGGCAGGGTTAGCACACGGCGCCGAGCCCCGGTGAGTGGCCGGCTAGCGAGTGCTCAGAGCTGGCCAGAGACCCCTCCCTGCGGGTCACGGCCAGGCAGGACACATCTGCTGCCCTCTTAGGTAGAGTGTGTGGGGCCCGAGCAGTTCAACAGACCAACGACAGGGCAGTGAGAGAGCAGACAGGCTCCATCGGGGATGTATGGGAGGTGGTGGGGCTTAGGGGAGGGAACGGCAGGCACGAGGCCTGGCCTGAGGCTTTTTGGAAAGACAAAGGGGCCCTGAAGACATGGCTGGGAGGCTGGGAGGCGGCTGGGAGGCTGGGAGGCATGGTTCGGTTGTGATATGGTTTGATAGCATATGGTTTGATAGCGATTGGCTCTGGGAGACTCCCGGAGACTCCAGCCTGGTGAGAGATGGTCGCTCCGTGGAGATTGAGCCCTTTGGGAGGTTCTCCTTTTAGGCAGGTCAGAGTTCGGCGGGTGGAGTGGCTTTGGCTGTGAGTGAGCCCACAGTCGGGTCCTGTCCCTCTCCTTCCCGCGGCACCCTCTGCGGGTGCCGGAGCTGCCAGAGCGTCGGGGGCGGGGGGGGGGGGGAGTTTGGCTCTGACTTAAAAACATGGCTCTTTAGCCAAGGCCGGCCCCTTGTCAACCCTTTTTTAAAAAGGATTTATTTGAGTGACAGAGAGAGAGAGAGAGAGCGCTCTTCCCTCTGCTGGCTCACTCCCCAGATGCCTGCAACAGCCAGAGCTGGGGCAGACCAAAGCTAAGAGCTGGGAACCCCACTCAGGTCTCCCGCGTGGGTGGCAGGAGCCCGAGCACTCGGGCCGTCCCCTGCCACCTCCCAGGTGCAGGAGCAGGAAGTGCGTGATGGAAGCGGGGGTGCGGGACTCAGTCCCAGGCACTGTGATGCCGGCGGCGGTGCCCATGGGGGAGGCCGGCATCGCGGGCGGCAGCTTTACCCACAGTGCCACAGCGCCGCTCCCCAGTGACATCTACAGCACGTCCCCCGTCCAGCGTCCACGCGCGGCCGTGAGCTGTGCACTGACGTCAGTGAGATGATGCTGTCTCTCTAAAGGCGCCATTCAAGCCCCGGACGCCATCTTGGCCTCTCCAGGCCCAGCCTGGCTTACTCGGAGTCAGGTGACCAAACAGCCCAGCCATAAGTGGCAGCCCCACCCCCACTCCAACGGGGTTTGCTGCTCCCATTCCCTCCCCCAGCGAGTCTATAACAAGGCCTGTCTTCCGACCCAGGCCTTTCTCCCCCCTCCCTCCAGCCTGTCTGGCTCCCCACCCCCACCCCCGTGGATAATTCCTTCCCTTACTCCTGCGTTAGGTGTGTTTTGTGGTGGCCTTTCAAGGGGGTTTAATGTCCCTTAACCCAGACCTGTTTCTTGGCCTCGTCTGTGTTTTATGGCCTCGACATGTTTGAGGGGTTCCAGCCCTTTATGCCGTGAACTGCCCCCATTTGGGGTGACTGTTATTTCCTGCCGATGAGATTCCGCTGGCGTCTGTTTGGCCGGGACACTCTGCTTTGTCGCTGATGGGGAGGGGCTGCAGATTCGGAGGGAGGGGCTGGAGCTGAGCCTGTGTGGTGGGATCGGACCCCAGGGTCCCAGGGTGAGCCTGTGCCATCAGATGGACACGGAAATCGGTGCCCGGGGCAGGGTCCTGCGAAATGACCCTGCCTGGAGGTCCTGGACACAGCGATGCCTAGCAGGTGCCCAGCGCCTGCCGCTCAGAGGGCCGGGGGGCCGGGGGCTTTGGAGACATGGTGGATGCTAGGACTGGGCTTACAGAGGAGCGGCCTCCCGCCGGATCTGGGACAGTGGGAGGCTTGCAGCGAGCTGTGCTGGTGCTGTGGGCGGTTGGGTCCCCCGGGAACCCAGTGTGGCCACCCCGCTGGGGCTGAGCAGCCGAAAGCATGGAGACAAGTGTGGCGCCAGCCGTGACGGGGGGAGTCTGCCGTCACCACCCCGAGCCCTCGGCGGGTGCTTCGTGCAGACCCGGGGGGCACACACAGCAGGGCAGTGACAGCTGACCAACAGGGTATCTGCGTCACCCCAGCGTGTGCACCACAAGCCCCGTATTCCTGACTTCGGGGGGAGTCGTCCTCTCCGTGGGGTGGACAGCACCTTGACCTCGTCGCTGACGTCGGACTTCCCAGGGGACACTACAGCAGCGCCGTTCACTTTCATTCTTCCTTTTTTCTTTCAAGATTGACTTATGTGTTTGAAAGTGTTACAGAAAGAGAGGGAGGGACAGATCTTGCGCCTGCCGGTTCACTTCCCAGATGGTCACAAGGGCCATGGCTGGGCCAGGCAGAAGCCGGGAGCTGCATCCGGGTCTCCCAGTGGTGGCAGAAGCCCAAACACTTGGGCCATGTTGTGCTGCTTTTCCCAGGCCTTTGGCCAGGGGCTGGATTGGAGGTGGACCAGCCTGGACATGAACGAGCACCCAGATGGGCTGGCGACGGCACAGGGGGCGGCTTTACGCACAGCTTTACGCACAGCTCGGGCCTCTGTTCCATTCGACTGATTTCTGCCAGATGGGGCTGGTGTGAGGGTGTGAGTGAGGTTACTCCACAGAGCCAGAGGACAGGCCAACTGCCTGGGGCAGGTGCTGCTCACCTGAGAGCTTTTTTTTCCCCAGAGATTTATTTATTTGAGAGGCAGGGGGGGGGGAGGTTGGGGAGTGACAGACTGGTCTTCCATCCACTGGTTCGCTCCCCAAATGACCACAACAGCCGGAGCCAGGCCTGTCCAAAGTCAGGAGCCAGGAGCTTCCTCTGGGTCTCCCACGCGGGTTCAGGGGCCCAAGCACTTGGGCATCTTCCACTGCTTTCCCAGGCCACAGCAGGGAGCTGGGTGGGAAGTGGAGCGGCAGGACCCTAACCGCCCTGACAGCGCTGCAGGCTGATGCTTAGCCTACACCGCCCACCGCCCACCGCCCACCCCCCACCCCCACCGCCGGCCCCCTGAGAGCAGTCTTAAGGAGGCTCTGCAGGCGCCCCCTCCTGTGCTGCTGTTTCTGGGCCTTGCTTGCTGGAGACTTGGGGTTCACCCAGGTGCCATTCCTGCTGCCCTGGGGGCTGCAAAGACCTGGGGGGGAGGCACAGCCACAGGCAGTGGCCGCCGGGCTGGGACGTCATACCGCTTCGCGTTCATTCTTCTGAGTGTAGCAGGGAGCAGAAGTGAAGGGGTTCTGTTTCCTAGGCCACTCTAGCAAGGCCCGGCAAAGCAGGCGCCCTAACACGCAGGCGGCGGCTCTCCCGCAGGCCGGGGGCTCTCAGCAGGCCCCTGCTGGGGTTTGCTTCCTGGCATCCCCAGCCTCCGGCATTGCCAGCAGTGGGGCTCCGAGCCGCGCTCCAAGCCTGTGTCGTTACACCTGTTAGAAGGACGCAGGTCAGTGGGTTTGGGCCCCCTTCCTGACCCAATGTGACTTCGCCCGATCCATCTGCAAGACAGCCTCCAAAAGACGCTGCCGTCTGGGGCCTGGGCTGGACAGGAGCGCTTAGAGAATGCTGCCCAACCCTGTGCCGGGTAAAAGGGGCCAGGCACCGTCCCAAGCGCTGGCGTCAGGAATGACAGAGACAGCGGGGCTAGGTTAGAAATGGGAAGCAGGCTTCAGTCCCGGCAGCCAGGGGCGCCCGCCTGCTCTGGGAGCCAGGGTGGAGGCTCTGTGGGGACGGCCTCCAGGGTGGCACCCGCCCGGCAGGGCCCCGTAGACGCCGTGGTCAGACCCTGTTGCGGAGGCACCCCAGCTCCCCCCACGAGCAGTTCCGTGTGAAGATGAGGCAAGCAGGGGTGGCCGGGTTTGGAAACAGAGGAAGTGGAGCTGGCCAGATACCGGCTAAATAAAGCCCGCTCTTTCCTCCCTGGGAGACGTCGGTCTCTGGGAAGCTGCAGGCTGCTGGGCAAGGCAGCCCCTCAGACCCCTGCCGCCCTGCCGCCCTGCCCGGAGGGGCCGTGCCCCCTGTGAGCCGCTGGGCGTGTGGCAGCTCCTGCAGAATGGCCAGGGAGGGAGGGCTCTGGGGCGACCGCCAGGCCTGATCCCCCAGACCCAGGGAGGGTGTCTGGGGAGCACGCAGAGCCTACCCCGGAGGCCCCCTGAGCACCTGCTCTGGGCAGCCCTTCGTGGTCAGGCACCTGTGAAGGTCGGGGCTGGGAACACCCCTGCAGCACCAGGGGCGGGCGTGAGCGCCGCATCCTCTCTGACTCTGCTCTGGGCCTCACTGCAGGCGGCTCCGTCAGGGCACTTGGGGGTTAGGAGGGGAACCCTGGGGGGGCGCTTAGCTTCGCATATCCCACATCCCACAGCAGACTGCCTGCGCTCGCCTCCTGGCCGGAGCTCCTGGCACTGCAGACCCGGAGAGGGCGAAGCGCTGGCTTCAGCGACTGGGGCGCTGCTCATGGGGGAGACCAGGATGGAGCTCCCAGCTCCAGGCCATTGCAGGCATTTGGGGGTGCCAGCGGGTGGATGCACGCCTTTGTCAGGAGGATACGGGGCAAGTGGGCTCGGCTGGGGCACAGGAGCCTGAGAGGGAGACGGAGGGCGTGGGGGTTCACACTCCCCGCTGCCCCCCGGAGACGGCGGCTTGATCCCGCGGGAGAGCCGGACCCTCACGGGCTGAAGGCCTCTCGCTGCTGTCCCGTGGCCACTGAGGGGACCCTCTGACCGCAGCGGGGGCGTAGCAGAGCCTCCACCAGAGCCCAGACTCGCCCAGTCCTCACCCAGAGCGAGCTTCGGAAACCAAGGTGCTGTGCACGTACCGGCTTTGTTCTCTGGGCGTTGGGGTCAATGATGCACCTTTTAGGGTTTCACTGTTTCCTAGTTGCCTTTGGGTGTGACATGGAGAGTCCTGGGAACACCACGCATGTGGAATTTGTTCGAGATACACGTTTCCCACTGACTTTTTGAAGACCCTTCATGAACGAGGACTTCAAAATTTTCCCACCGGAATCAGTTTCCCTTTTAACTCCCTCTTTCCACAAACTGCGAAGTTCCCGCACACTGCCCCGAGGAGGAGGGCGCCGGGTGTTTCCTGCGCACCGAGCGGCGTCTACGGAGGCCCTGGCAGGGCGCTGGCTGCTCTCCTCTCCCCGCGGCCCGGGCTTCCGGAGCTGCTGAGGCGAGTGCCCAGCACCGCCAGCCGTTTCTAGTCTGCAGGTGCTTTGCTGGTGGCCAGAGACACAGGAGCCCCAGGGTGCTAGGGTGCTGCGCATCGTTATCCACGGGGGCTCCCCTGCCAGGGTGGGGTGCAGCCGGGGCTTCCTGTACTGCAGCACGTGGGCGCGAGCCCGGGCTGCCCTCCCAGTCCCAGCGTCCTGCTTATGCACCCCGGGAGGCAGCAGGGGCTGACCGGTACCAGCGTCCCTGCCGCCCTGGGTGGGGTTCCTGCCTCCTGGCCTTGCCTGGGGAGTAAACCAGCAGGTGGGAGATCTCGGGCAGTCATTCGGCTTTTCAGATTTAATTGATTACTTAACTAAAAGATTAGCAGATGGGTGTGCCCCCCCCCCCCCCCCCCCGGGCCTTCCCTGCAGAGGGGCACAGAGCGGGTGACTGCTTTCCTGCCAGCAGCAGGGTGGACACCTCGGGCCGCTTTCCTGCCAGCAGCCCTGCGGGGAGCCCTCCTCGTCCTGCCTGCCGCTGCCCGGGGACAGCTCTCTGCCTGGTGCCCGGGCTCAGCCGCCCTCTCAACCCGGCAGCCGGGCCGCGTGCCAGTGTTGTCCCGTCCTGGGCCTCGGGCGAGCTGGCCGGCATCACTCACTCTGCTCATTGAGGTCAGTGTCGTATTTATGTCCGCTCTGCGTGCGCACTTCTGAAAAGTCGCATAGAAACGAAACAGCCAAAAATAAATCTGACCTTAGAGCCCAGGATGGCAGCCACGCAGGGGGCCGCAGCTGACCCAGCCGTCCACTGGGGAACCGACTGGCGTCTGCTCTGGGCACAGACATCCAAGTCCCACATTTCTCTCTGGTTACCGTGTCTTGAACGCACGTGACAGTGACGTGATATGGCAAGAGACACGCCTACGTGTGGTGCCCGCCCCTGCTTCCTGGCACCCAGCTCCTAACACCCCGGCATCTCCCCAGGGATGAGTCTCGTGGGTGCCGACCAGGTGACTGGTGGCTGAGGCTCCCGGGTCCCTCCCTGTGGGCCTGGCTGCCAGGGAGTCGCCAGCTGGTGGGGGAGGGGAGCACAGAGTGAGCAGTCAGGAGGGGGCGGGGCTGTGGGGTGTCAGTCACCCGTGGCTGTCCAGTCAGGCCTGTGTGGTGAGCCCTCCTGGTAGCGGTGCCCCTGCCAGTGCCCCGCCCCCTGCGTCTTTCCCTGCCGCCCGCCCGTCTGTGTCCCCTGCTGCATCCTTTGCAGGAAATGGACAGACGGGAGCAAAGTGTTCCCCGGAGCCCCGGGAGCTGCCCCGCAAACCAGGGAACCCCAGACCCCTAGCAGAGGGGCCAGGGCAGGGCCAGGCCTGGGGCTGTGATTGGCATTTGAGGGGTGGGGTCAGAGTTGGGCTGGGTCAGAGGACGCCCAGCAGGTGCCGCGGGGGAGTGCTGGGTGTCGGGGAGACCCCACAGCTGTGTAGAAGGGTTCTGTGGGGGGGGAGCTGCCGTCAGGCATTCAAGGGGTTCAGTCTGAAGGAGCCAAAGCGGCAACACTGGTGATTTTCTAACCGGCGGAGAGACCCTGGGGACACACAGGACAGTGGGAGTGACACAGGGGCAGTCGCGGTGATCCCGACACAGGGCTGGATGGAGCACACACAGCACGGGGAAATCGCAGGGTGCCGCCGCTGTCCTGTGTCCCCAGGGTCCTCTCCCACTGTCCTGTGTCCCCCAGAGTCCTCTCCACTGTCCTGTGTCCCCCAGAGTCCTCTCCACTGTCCTGTGTCCCCAGGGTCCTCTCCCACTGTCCTGTGTCCCCCAGAGTCCTCTCCACTGTCCTGTGTCCCCCAGAGTCCTCTCCACTGTCCTGTGTCCCCCAGGGTCCTCCTCGCTGTCCTGTGTCCCCCAGGGTCCTCTCCACTGTCCTGTGTCCCCCAGGGTCCTCTCCTGCTGTCCTGTGTCCCCCAGGGTCCTCTCCGCTGTCCTGTGTGTCCCCTAGAGTTCTCTCCACTGTCCTGTGTCCCCCAGGGTCCTCTCCTGCTGTCCTGTGTCTCCCAGGGTCCTCTCCACTGTCCTGTGTCCCCCAGGGTCCTCCTCGCTGTCCTGTGTCCCCCAGGGCCCTCTCCACTGTCCTGTGTCCCCAGGGTCCTCTCCACTGCCCTGTGTCCCCCAGGGTCCTCTCCACTGTCCTGTGTCCCCCAGGGTCCTCCTCGCTGTCCTGTGTCCCCCAGGGTCCTCCTCGCTGTCCTGTGTCCCCCAGGGTCCTCCTCACTGTCCTGTGTCCCCAGGGTCCTCTCCGCTGTCCTGTGTCCCCAGGGTCCTCTCCCGCTCTCCTGTGTCCCCCAGGGTCCTCCTCGCTGTCCTGTGTCCCCCAGGGTCCTCTCCACTGTCCTGTGTCCCCAGGGTCCTCCTTACTGTCCTGTGTCCCCCAGGGTCCTCCTCGCTGACCTGTGTCCCCCAGGGTCCTCTCCACTGCCCTGTGTCCCCCAGGGTCCTCTCCACTGTCCTGTGTCCCCCAGGGTCCTCCTCACTGTCCTGTGTCCCCAGGGTCCTCTCCGCTGTCCTGTGTCCCCAGGGTCCTCTCCCGCTCTCCTGTGTCCCCCAGGGTCCTCTTCGCTGTCCTGTGTCCCCCAGGGTCCTCTCCACTGTCCTGTGTCCCCAGGGTCCTCCTCACTGTCCTGTGTCCCCCAGGGTCCTCCTCGCTGACTTGTGTCCCCCAGGGTCCTCTCCACTGCCCTGTGTCCCCAGGGTCCTCCTCGCTGTCCTGTGTCCCCCAGGGTCCTCTCCACTGTCCTGTGTCCCCCAGGGTCCTCTCCTGCTGTCCTGTGTCCCCCAGGGTCATCTCCACTGTCCTGTGTGTCCCTCAGGGTCCTCTCCTGCTGTCCTGTGTCCCCCAGGGTCCTCTCCACTGCCCTGTGTGTCCCCCAGGGTCCTCTCCTGCTGTCCTTTGTCCCCCAGGGTCCTCTCCGCTGTCCTTTGTCCCCACACACTGTCCGGTGTGGTCACCAGGGTCCTCTCCGCTGTCCTGTGTGTCCCCTAGGGTCCTCTCCTGCTGTCCTGTGTCCCCAGGATCCTCTCCACTGTCCGGTGTGGTCACCAGGGTCCTCTCCACCGTCCAGTGTGGTCACCAGGGTCCTCTCGCTGTTTGGTGTTGCAGGTACAGAGCCTTCATCTTCACCTTGACGTTTGTGCTGTACGCCAGCTTCCACTTATCTCGCAAGCCCATCAGCATCGTGAAGGTGAGCCCTCCCGGGGTGCTCACGCCTGCCGCCCTGGGCTGCGTCGTCGTGGAAGGGCTGGGGGAGGAGGGGACAAAGGAGATGGTTAGAGACAAGGGACTGCTGCTTTGGGTTTTTTAGCTTCTTTTTTCTGAATCCAAACTCTACCAGTGTGACAGTTTATGGTTTCACGGATAGTTTCCCTTTACTTATGTTGGTGGAGTGCTCAAATATTTGTTTTAAGCCCTGTTTCCTTCCCAGTACGCCTGGCCTTCCAGTGCTTTCCGAATCGCCTCACCTGTCATTCTGCTTGGCCGCCGAGGCCGTGCCGGAGCTGGGTGGACAGGTGTTCAGCTAGACTCTGAGATGCGGGCGGAGTAGACGGCCCTGCAGGACAAGCTGTTACAACTGGAGAGGAGGCGGGAGGGCTGCTGCACACCCTGGACCATCGTAGCAAGCACAAGAGGTCGTCCGGGGCCGGCTCAGCCGCCCCTTGCTTGCTCTCTGTAGCTGCCCAGGGCACGGCTCCGGGGCTGCAGCTCTGTGACCTCCGTGCCCCCACCCCACCCCGTCCCCTCCACACCGCAGCAGCCTTCAGGCCTCCCACAGCGGAGGTGACGCACACCGTCCTGTGTCCCCAGGGTCCTCTCCAGTGTCCTGTGTCCCCAGGGTCCTCTCCACTGTCCTGTGTCCCCAGGGTCCTCTCCTGCTGTCCTGTGTCCCCCAGGGTCCTCTCCCGCTGTCCTGTGTGTCCCCCAGGGTCCTCCTCGCTGTCCTGTGTCTCCCAGGGTCCTCCTCGCTGTCCTGTGTCCCCCAGGGCCCTCTCCCACTGTCCTGTGTGTCCCCCAGGGTCCTCTCCCGCTGTCCTGTGTCCCCCAGGGTCCTCCTCGCTGTCCTGTGTCCCCAGGGTCCTCTCCCGCTGTCCTGTGTCCCCAGGGCCCTCTCCCGCTGTCCTGTGTCCCCCAGGGTTCTCTCCCGCTGTCCTGTGTCCCCCAGGGTCCTCCTCGCTGTCCTGTGTCCCCCAGAGTCCTCCTCACTGCCCTGTGTCCCCCAGGGTCCTCTCCACTGTCCTGTGTCCCCAGGGTCCTCTCCACTGTCCTGTGTGTCCCCCAGGGTCCTCCTCGCTGTCCTGTGTCCCCCAGGGTCCCAGGGTCAGCTCCCAGGGCCAGCTGTGTCCCCTGCCCTCCAGCGGGCGTCACGTGCTCATCTTCCCTCCGTGACCCTCGCGAGGCAGCAATTTGCTGTCCTTCGGGTCACTGACGTGGAGGCGTTTGCAAACTTAAAGGCGTGTTTTCAGCAAGTGCCCTGGAGCCGAGGGTCAGTGCGCCAGGAGTGGGGTGTGACAGGCTTTGGGGCTCCAGCGTTGACCAGGACAGGGTGGGTTAGGGGCTCCAACGTTGACCAGGACAGGGTGGGTTAGAGTCTCTGGGGAGGAAACGGCTCTCCGGGTGGGTGGACGTGCCCGGTGCCGGGCAGAGGGAGGGGGCATCACCATGGAGCTGCCACCTGTTGGGACCGACATGGCACGCAGGGTGGCCCGGCCACCGGCAGGTCTCTGCGTCAGGACGTGGTCCCAGGAGTGCACCTGATGACCTCAGGGTCCCTCCCAGGCAGGGAGGTCGGCGTGGTTTGAGGCCACCCTCCTGCTTCCCTGGCTGCTCCTCCCAAGGACCCCAGCCCTTGTGTAGACACGCTTGTGTAGACGCGTCCCCCCCTGGGGCTTGGGCTCACCAAAAAGGCCAGCGTTCAGAGGTGACAGCACACAAGGCACGATCCTCGCACCACGCTGGCAGTGGCTGTAGGAGGAGGCGGAGCCGAATCCTGCCCCCACCCCATACACCTGCCAGGCAGAGCTGGGCTCACTGGGGTGAGAACCACTCCCTGCAAGCCCCCCCCCCCAGCCCCTGTGCCTCAGGGCCCCTCCGGGGTTTCACGCCTGGAGTAGAGCCGTGGGTCACCTCCAGATCTGTAGCTCACAGGTTTCTGGCTCAGCACTGCCTGAGCGTGGCCTGGTCAAGAACATCCCCGCACACGTGATAGTCCGCGTGTCGTGAAGCCGCACCCAGCTGTCCCACGCTGTAGCCTGTGTGTGAACGGCAGAAATCAAACTGGAAGGAGTAGGGGGTCTGCCGACTCAAGGGGCCGGTGGGGTGATTACCCGCAGCCTGTGTCTCCTAGGACGTAGCAAGCAACGCAAAAGCAAACTACAAGTACCTACCAGGAGGCAGTCACAGGGCTGAGAAGTGTCAGATGACTAATCGCATCTCTGCCGTCACTTATAGGATGAATGGCGTATCCGCCGAGACTTGGGTTACTCTGTAACTGTGTAGATTGACTTAATTCCTGATCTGTTTTGAAGGTTTACTTATTTGGAAGGCACAGTTGCAGAGAGAGAGGGAGAGACACAGAGTGAGCAAGTGAGACCTTCCATCTGCTGGTTCACTCCCCAGATGGCCGCAATGGCCAGGGCTGGGCCAAGCCGAAGCCAGGAGCCTCTTTTGGGTCTCCACACGGGTGCGGGGGCCCAAGCACTTGGGCATCTTCCGCTGTTTCCTAAGCGCGTCAGCAGGGAGCTGCATCGGAAGTGGAGCAGCCAGAACTCGAACGGGTGCCCATATGGGATGTGGCAGCCTACAACTTCTGATTTTAAAAAGCATGTATTTATTTACTTGGGGGGGGGGGGATCTGCTGTCTGCTGGTTCCCTCTCAAATGGCTGCAGTAGTCAGCTCTGTGTCAGGTTGAAGTCGGGAGCCCAGAACTGGGTCTGGGTCTCCCACACGGGTAGGAGGAACCCAAGCACTTGCTTCAGTGGCTGTCGCCAAGAGTGCACGTTATCAGGAAGCTGGGTTGGAGGCAGAGGGGTCACCTGCTCCAATACAAGAAGTAGAGGGGACCTGATTCAATACAGGAAGTAGAGGGGACCTGATCCATACAAGAAGTAGAGGGGACCTGATTCAATACAGGAAGTAGAGGACACCTGATCCATACAGGAAGTAGAGGGGACACCTGATCCAATACAGGAAGTAGAGGGGACCTGATCCATACAGGAAGTAGAGGGGACCTGATTCAATACAGGAAGTAGAGGGGACCTGGTCCATACAGGAGGTAGAGGGGACCTGATCCATACAGGAAGTAGAAGGGACCTGATCCATACAGGAAGTAGAGGGGACCTGATTCAATACAGGAAGTAGAGGGGGCCTGATCCATACAGGAAGTAGAGGACACCTGATCCATACAGGAAGTAGAGGGGACCTGATCCATACAGGAAGTAGAGGGGACCTGATTCAATACAGGAAGTAGAGGGGACCTGGTCCATACAGGAAGTAGAGGACACCTGATCCATACAGGAGGTAGAGGGCACCTGATCCATACAGGAAGTAGAGGGGGACTTGATCCGATACAGGAAGTAGAGGGGACCTGATTCAATACAGGAAGTAGAGGGGACACCTGATCCATACAGGAAGTAGAGGGGGACTTGATCCGATACAGGAAGTAGAGGGGACCTGATTCAATACAGGAAGTAGAGGGGACACCTGATCCATACAGGAAGTAGAGGGGGCCTGATCCATACAGGAAGTAGAGGGAGCACCTGATCCATACAGGAAGTAGAGGACACCTGATCCATACAGGAAGTAGAGGGGACCTGATTCAATACAGGAAGTAGAGGGGGCCTGATCCATACAGGAAGTAGAGGACACCTGATCCATACAGGAAGTAGAGGGAGCACCTGATCCATACAGGAAGTAGAGGACACCTGATCCATACAGGAAGTAGAGGACACCTGATCCATACAGGAAGTAGAGGGGACACCTGATCCATACAGGAAGTAGAGGGGACCTGGTCCATACAGGAAGTAGAGGGGACACCTGATCCATACAGGAAGTAGAGGACACCTGATCCATACAGGAAGTAGAGGGAGCACCTGATCCATACAGGAAGTAGAGGGAGCACCTGATCCATACAGGAAGTAGAGGACACCTGATCCATACAGGAAGTAGAGGGGACACCTGATCCATACAGGAAGTAGAGGGGACCTGATCCATACAGGAAGTAGAGGGGACCTGATCCATACAGGAAGTAGAGGGGACACCTGATCCATACAGGAAGTAGAGGGGACCTGGTCCATACAGGAAGTAGAGGACACCTGATTCAATACAGGAAGTAGAGGACACCTGATCCATACAGGAAGTAGAGGGGACACCTGGTCCATACAGGAAGTAGAGGACACCTGATCCATACAGGAAGTAGAGGGGACCTGGTCCATACAGGAAGTAGAGGACACCTGATCCATACAGGAAGTAGAGGGAACCTGGTCCATACAGGAAGTAGAGGGGACCTGATCCATACAGGAAGTAGAGGGGACACCTGATCCATACAAGAAGTAGAGGGGACCTGATTCAATACAGGAAGTAGAGGGGACCTGGTCCATACAGGAGGTAGAGGACACCTGATCCATACAGGAAGTAGAGGGGACACCTGATCCATACAGGAAGTAGAGGGGACCTGATTCAATACAGGAAGTAGAGGGGACCTGGTCCATACAGGAGGTAGAGGGCACCTGATCCATACAGGAAGTAGAGGGGACACCTGATCCATACAGGAAGTAGAGGGGACCTGATCCATACAGGAAGTAGAGGGGACCTGATTCAATACAGGAAGTAGAGGGGACCTGATCCGTACAGGAAGTAGAGGACACCTGATCCATACAGGAAGTAGAGGGGGCCTGATCCATACAGGAAGTAGAGGGGGCCTGATCCATACAGGAAGTAGAGGACACCTGATCCATACAGGAAGTAGAGGGGACCTGATCCATACAGGAAGTAGAGGGGACACCTGATCCATACAGGAAGTAGAGGACACCTGATCCAATACAGGAAGTAGAGGACACCTGATCCAATACAGGAAGTAGAGGGGACCTGGTCCATACAGGAAGTGGAGGGGACCTGATCCATACAGGAAGTAGAGGACACCTGATCCATACAGGAAGTGGAGGGGACCTGATCCATACAGGAAGTAGAGGGGACCTGATCCATACAGGAAGTAGAGGGGACCTGATTCAATACAGGAAGTAGAGGGGGACCTGCTCCATACAGGAAGTAGGGGACACCTGATCCGTACAGGAAGTAAAGGACACCTGCTCCGTACAGGAAGTAGAGGGGGACTTGATCCGAAACAGGAAGTGGGGGGGACTTGGTCCAGTACAGGAAGCAGGTATCCCAACTGTGTCGTAACTGCTCTGCCGAATGCCAGCCCTAGACGTATTTTTATTCATTGCAGATTAGTTTTCTTTTTCTCTGGTGAATTCCTGATTCCCGGCTTTGGCTTCGCCCAGTCATGGCTGTCGTAGGCACATGTGGAGTGAGGCAGGGGTTGGAAGCTCGCTCTCTCCCTCTCTCTCTCTTGTTCTCTTTGTCGCTCCCTCCTCTCTGTTACTCTGCCTTTCGAATCAACCTGATCTTATTGTCTGTCTCTGTGTGTGTCTCTCTCTGTCGTGAGCCATCGTCTGCTGCCTCCCAGGGGCACACAGTAGAAGGAGATGCAGGTAGGACTTAGCTCGGGTACGCTGATATGGAGTGTGGGCTTAACCCACTAGGCCACAGTGCCTGCCCCCAAACAGATGCTGCATTTGGGGCTTGCTTTGTGGCATAGCAGGCTACGCTGCTGCCTGCGCTGCCGACATCCCTGTCAGAGCAGCAGCCTGAGTCTCAGCGGTGCTGCCCCCTAGCCAGTGCCCCCTAAGGCTCCTGGGAAAGCGGCAGAAGAGGCCGTGGCAGCCATGTGGGAGCCCTGGTGAGCTCCCGGCTCTGGCTGCAGCCTGCCCAGCCCGTCAGTGGCAGCCACTTGGGTGGTGAACCCGCAGTGGAAGATCGATTTCTCTTTTTCTCGTCTCACTCCACCTTTCAAACGTATAAAGTAGATCCTTAAAAAATGTGCATTAAAAATGCTGACGGGGTCAGGCTGGGAGGATGGCTGTGTCACAGGGGCAGCCCCATCCTTTCTGCTGCTGTCCCCACCGTAGCCCGGCTCAGGACTGTGCGCGTGTCCGCCAGGCTGCTGGGCGGGTGGGGCTACACCCGGCCGTGGAGGCCTTTCGGAGGCTGTTCATCCCCGGCTGGGCCACAGCAGAGACCTGCAAGCCGGGGGCCTGGGGAATGGTGACGTTGACTGTTTGAGTGCCCAGCCCTTTCTGCACACACAGGGCCTCTAAGAAAAATACTATAAAACCCTCCATGGCAGGCAGAGAGCAAAGTCTGCAAAGCTGAAAACACAAACCATGGCTTTGGGTGGGAAACTTGCGTCTAGAAAGTTCCAGCCCTCCCCGCATTAGCATTAAATAGCATGCAGGCCTGTGAAACTCTCAACAGTGGTTTGTTTTTTTTTTTTTTTTTTTTGATTGAATAAAATAATCTTTTTTTAAAAAAATCTATTTATGTATTTGAAAGTCAGAGGGGAGGCAGAGAGAGAGAGAGAGAGGTCTTCCGTCTGCTGGTTCACTCCCCAAATGGCCATAATGGCTGGGGCTGGGGCTGGGGCTTGGCCAGGCCAAAGCCAAGAGCCAGGAGCTTCATCCGGGTCTCCCATGTGAGTCCAGGGGCCATCCTCGGCTGCTTGCCAAGGTGCATTAGCAGGGAGCTGGACTGGAGGTGGAGCAGCTGGGACTTGAACTGGTGCCCCATGGGATGCCTATGCTGCCCTCTATGCCATGATGCCGGCCCCCAATTTCTGATTTTACAAAAATTTATTTACTTGAGAGAGCGAGGGAGAGAGAGATCTACCACCTGCTGGTTCCCTCCCCAAATGCCTGCAGTCGTCACTGTGATTGGGCTGAAGCCAGGAGCCAGGAGTCAGGAGCCAGGAGCCAGGAGCTTCTTCCAGGTCTCCCACACGGATGCAGGGGCCCAAGGACTTGGACCATCTTCCACTGCTTTCCCAGGCGCTTTAGCAGGGAGCTGGACTGGAAGTGGAGCAGCCGAGACTCTAAATGGCGCCCAAATGGGATGCTGGCACTGCAGGCAGTGGCTTAACCATAGTGCCAGCCCCTGAATAAAATAATCTTTTTTTAAAAGATTTATTTATTTGAAAGGCAGAATTACAGAGAGAGAGAGAGAGAGAGAGAGAGAGAGAGAGAGAAAGAGACAGAGTCTTCCATCTGCTGGTTCACTCCCCAAATGCCTGCAGTTGTCACTGCTGACTGGGCTGAAGCCAGGAGCCAGGAGCTTCTTCCAGGTCTCCCACGCGGGTGCAGGGGCCCAAGGACTTGGACCATCTTCAGCTGCTTTCCCAGGCGCTTTAGCAGGGAGCTGGACTGGAAGTGGAGCAGCCAGGACTCAAACTGGCACCCAAATGGGATGCTGGCGCTGCAGGCGGTGGCTTAACCATAGTGCCAGCCCCTGAATAAAATAATCTTTTTTTTAAAAGATTTATTTATTTGAAAGGCAGAATTACAGAGAGAGAGAGAGAGAGAGAGAGAGAGAGAGGTCTTCCATCTGCTGGTTCACTCCCCAAATGACTGCAATAGCCAGAGCTGGGCCAGGCTGAAGTCAGGAGCCAAGAGCTTCCTCCGGTCTCCTGTGTAGCAGGCTCAGGCACTCGGGCATCCTCCACTGCTCTCCCAGGCCACAGCAGAGAGCTGGATCGGAAGTGGAGCAGCCGTGTCAAACAGGTGCCCATATGGGATGCCGGCACTGCAGGCAACAGCTTTACCAGCTACGCCACAACGCTGGCCCCTGAATAAAATAATCTTAAAGTGTATATGAAAGAATGGCTAGGAATTAATCACTAGAAAAAGTGTGGGGAAGGTAACACTCTAATGATATGAAATTAAAATATGAAAAAATATTTTTAAATAACAAATCAGTTATGATCTTGTGCAAATATAGACAAAAAGGTTGTTATAATAGGATAGAAATTATGCAGTGTCTGACGGATGATAGGCAAAGTGTGGCTTTGTTTAATGATGGCGGCACAAGAGGTCATACATCTGGAAGAAATAGAGGTTGAATCCTTTTCTTACAAAAAAAATGGGCAAAAAAGGATGAGTTAAAGAAAATCCAAGAATAAACTTAGGCTCGTGGTGTTGTGAGGTGGGAAACCCAAAGGACGAGGAGGCAGGAGGGAGGGTCAGGCCGTTCACAGACAAGGAACCCAAGTTACCAAGAACCAGGTTCAAGGTCACGGGTGTCCACAGGTGCAGCTAATGTAGCTGTAGCCCATGCCCGCCGGCTGGCGTGAGGTTGGGGAGGTGGGTGCCATCTGCCGCTCACCGGCTGGCGTGAGGTTGGGGAGGTGGGTGCCGTCTGCCGCTCACCGGCTGGCGTGAGGTTGGGGAGGTGGGTGCCGTCTGCCGCTCACCGGCTGGCGTGAGCTTGGGGAGGTGGGTGCCCTCTGCCGCTCACCGGCTGGCGTGAGGTTGGGGAGGTGGGTGCCGTCTGCCACTCACCGGCTGGCGTGAGCTTGGAGAGGTGGGTGCCCTCTGCTGCTGGCCCGTCAGGAGGGGGTGGCCAGTGCTGGCAGCACGTGTTGGGGTGGAAGTCTCCACGGCCGTCGGTTCTCTTCCTGGGGACTTCGCCCTGGGGTAGCGGCCCCATCCCCGGGACAGCGGCACAGGCCTTCATTGCAGAGTTGCTCACGGTGAGCAAAACCCAAAGCAGGAAACCAAACAGACAAAGGGAGCCGGCCGCTGTCGCAGGGACGCAGTCCGCCCAGCGCCCCACTCCTCTCCCGAGTCTGGCTGGGCTCCGGCAGATGCACGTGAAGAGTGTTAGAGCCGGAGCAGCTGCCTGGGAGGTGGTCGGGGTGCTCTGAGTGAGAAGGCGCGCGTGAGAACGCGCAGGACACGTGAGCCGTGATCGGCAGGCTCCCTGCGTGTTTCTGTGTAGCTCTGAGTGGAGCCGGGACAGCGGCGGGAAATGCATTCGCTGCCCGTAGCTCCACCTCGCGGCTCAGCGGTGCCCTTCCCCTGGACCCCGGGGCTGTGGGAGCTGCCCGGCACCGCAGGGGAGGGCAGGGCACTAGACCCACGCCGGCGATCCAGGTCCAGTCCTAGGTTCCCCGAAGGCCTGTGGGTTAGCACCATGGCGAGAGTGTAACTGGGACCACGGGGTGTGCATGAGTGCCCGTCACTCACAACCCAGCTGCCTTCGGGCGCTGCCGTAATGGGACACAGCTTGTCTGATCATCCCGCTTTGGGTCCCAAAACTCATTTGTCTCCCAGGACTCCTTTGGTGCAGTGCTTTGGAGAGTTCTTTTATTGTAACTTTTATAAAGCATTTATTTAACTGGAAGGCAGAGTGACAGAGAGAGGGAGAGGTCTTTCATCCCAACAGCAGGGACTGGGCCGGGCTGCAGGCGGGAGCCAGGAACTGCGCACGCTTCCCACAGATGGGGGCACCCACGCACGCGGGCCGCCATCCGCTGCTCTCCGGGCGCAGTAACGGGAAGCCGGAAGGGAAGCCTGCAGGAACTGGGACTCCAGCCACGCCGCACAGTGTGGGATGCGGGTGCCCCGAGTGGGGTCGACCGCCGTGCCAGTCGCCTGCCCACAGGAGTTCTTTAGAAAGGCGTTTAGAGGCCGGCGCCGCGGCTCACTAGGCTAATCCGCCACCTTGCGGCGCCGGCACACCGGGTTCTAGTCCCGGTCGGGGCGCCGGATTCTGTCCCGGTTGCCCCTCTTCCAGGCCAGCTCTCTGCTGTGGCCTGGGAGTGCAGTGGAGGATGGCCCAAGTGCTTGGGCCCTGCACCCCATGGGAGACCAGGAGAAGCACCTGGCTCCTGGCTTCGGATCAGCGCGGTGTACCGGCCGCAGCGCGCCGGCCACGGTGGCCATTGGAGGGTGAACCAATGGCAAAGGAAGAACTTTCTCTCTGTCTCTCTCACTGTCCACTCTGCCTGTTAAAAAGGAAAAAAAAAAAAAAGAAAAGAAAAGAAAAAAAAGAAAGGCGTTGGTTCAGAGCACTCGCTGAACTAAACGAGCCCACACAGCCTCACGGGCCGCAGGAAGTGACCTGAACACATTGGCCGCAGAGCACGGTTATCCGCGTGTGCGTTCCGAGTCTTCCCTGGACGCCTAGCACGGACGTCCCTGTCCCTGTCCCTGTGCCGTCTTTCGGAGGAGAACCGCTGGCTGCTGGAGCTGCCAGCGACCCTGCAGGGTAGTGCGGGGCAGTGCGGGTGTCTGGGGTGGGGGGGCTCTGCAGATGGAGGCGGCCCCACTCTCGCAGCCCCGCGCCCTCTGCCGGATGCCCAGTTCTCCCGTGCCTTCTTCCCCACCGCCGCCTCCAGACCGCGGCTGGCTTCCTGTTGCTGCCGTCCTGTGGTGTGACGTGGGATCAGCGTTGGGGCGCGTCCTAGGCCTTGTCCACGCTGTCAGTCACGTGGCCTCTCACGGGTCCCTTTTGCCCTCAGTTTATGCGTGACTCGCGGGGAGGTGCCCAGGTGAGCAGTCTGCGAAGAAGGCTGGTTTTGTGGAATGATGAGTCCCCGAGGAGTCAGCCCCTCCCCGTGTCGTGACAGGGACCCTGCGGCCGTGGGGGGGCTCCTTCACCTCCATCTCCTTAAGGCCGAACGTTGAAAACTAGCACGCCGGCCCCTATGCTGAGTCACTGCGCTGCCCCTGTAATGCTGAGTCATAGCCACGGCAGGTCCCTGTTCCTGCACAGCCTCCCACCAGGCTGCCGAGGAGTGGGCTGGGCTGGGGGCGGCCCCTACTCAGCGGCTAAGCCGGCGGCTGGGGGTGGTGGGCGACATCACCAAGGTCCCAGCTCTGGCCCAACTGCAGCCAACCCCGTGTCCCCATCAGGGCGGGAGGGCGCCCTCCTTGCGTAGCAGGAAGCCGAGAGAGACGAGTGCCGCGGCCGTGTTCCGCAGACGCCCCTCCCCAGCCCGAATGGTAAAGTGAGCAAGGGGTACGAGGCTGCGTGTGAAGCTGTGGTCTGCAGGCTTCCTGGCCCTGCTGCGAAGGCCCACACTGGCCCCACACTGGCCCCACGTGACTCTCTCCCCCCCCCCACCCAGCCGCCCTGCCTGTGGCTCTCCTCAGTCTCTTCCTGGGTGTGGCCAAACCGGCTTCTGAAAGGGTGGGCAGAGCCTCGGCTTCCTAAGGAAACGGGAGCAGAGCGGAAGGCAGGTAGCAGGAGCCCAGGGAAGGCTGCCACGCCCAGCCACGTCCACCGCTCCCCACGCCACCTTGGCTGCCACGCCCAGCCCCGTCCACCGCTCCCCACGCCACCTTGGGTGCACTGCCAGCCACATCCACAGCTCCCCACACCACCTTGGGTACACTGCCAGCCACGTCCACAGCTCCCCATGCCACCTTGGGTGCCACGCCCAGCCACGTCCACAGCTCCCCATGCCACCGTGGCTACCACGTCCAGCCCCGTCCACAGCTCCCCACGCCACCTTGGGTGCCGCTGCCAGCCATGTCCATAGTTCCCCACGGTCACCTTGGGTAAGGGCAGGAGCACGGGCAGGTGGCCAACAGTGCCCGTTCCCCCGGGCCCAGAGGCGCGTGAGCTGTGCCGCGGAAAGCTGTCTGCAGCTAATTGGTGAATTTGTCGGGCAGGGCCCTTGGCTACCGTCCCCCCCAGACGAGCCCTTAGACCCCGGCGCTTGCTGGTTCTGTGGGCGCCGTGCTGGGCAGGGGGCCTCTTGAGGTCTCGCCGACGGAGGAGAGTGGCTGGGTCCTCGCTGTGGGGCCTGGCGTCCTGCCAGCTCACCTGTGTGTCCCCACCGTACGGGCCTTCTCCTACCCCCAGGAGGCTCCCTGTGCCCTGTCCCCACGCCCCCCACACATCTCCCCGCTGTCACCACACGTTTGTTTGCCTGTTTGGTTTGTCTCCTCGTGCCTGGCTTCCTCACTTCCGGATGCCTGTGAGAGTCGGCCTCGCTGTTGCTCTTTTGTGGGGGTTCAGTGGTCTGAGCCTGGGAAAATGCCCGCTCTTCTCTCGTGGGCGGGGGCAGTCGGCTTGGCCCCTGGGACTCCTGCCGCTTCCCCCGGGCAGTGCCCAGGCCCCAGAGCCAGCCTCCAGCAGCACCTGCAGGCACCCTGGTCTCTGGAGTGGAGCTGCCGGGGGCCCCCGCCGAGGACTCCCGTGGTTCCCCCTTGAACTCGCCCAGCAGGAGCAGCGGCTGGTCGCAGTCTCACCTCCCGTTCTCCCCGCTAGGGCGAGCTGCACAGGTACTGCGCCGTCTGGGATGCGGCCGACGGCAGATCCAGCGGCGAGAGCAAAGCGGGGTACAGCCCCCCTCACCAGCCCCCAGACAACCAGACTGACTGCGGCTGGGCGCCGTTCGGTGAGTTCCAGTCCTGCCCGGCGGGGCTCCGCCAGCCGTAGCCGTGGCGGTACCGTCCTCCCGTGTCACTGCGTCTCCGCGGCAGCTGCCGTGGGGCCTGGAGTGCCCGTGTGCAGAGCGGGCGCCCCGGAAACCCGAGACCTGCTGACCGTCGTCTTGCCTTTTGTGTTTTGTAGCCTGGTGGTTAGAGCTTGCAGAGCGTGAATCCTGGTGGGAGGAAGGGAGGCCCGGGGGTGTGCTGGGGGCGGGGGGCGGGAGAAAAGCCCCAGCCGTGGAGACGGCGACAGGACGTGACCGCCCTCCCACAGCGTGAGCTGTGGGGCGTGCCCTCCTCTGGGGATCGCTGGAAACGCGGCGACTTTGCGTCTCCAGCGGACGGTGCGCCGTCGCCTGCGCGTCCCACGGACGCTGGGTGGAGAGGAGACATGTCTGTTTTATCGCCTTGCTCCAGACCGTAAACCCAAGCACTGAGCTTCCCTGCCGATTCCCACCCTGCAGATAAGAGCAACTACCAGCAGCTGCTTGGGGCCCTGGACTACTCCTTCCTGTGTGCCTACGCCGTGGGCATGTACCTGAGGTAGGTCTGCGTGGCCTGGCGCGGCGCGCCCGCAGGCGGCTCCCTCTGGCCTGGGGCGGGGGGCAGCGAGGAGTCCCACGAGACAGCTCCCCGGGCAGAGGGCTCACGTCCTGGGTGTTGTGCACACCCTGAGCCCTGCTGGCCCTGGTCCTGGGTGTGGCCACTTGGGAACGAGCACAGGAGGGCCATGGGCTGCTCACCCTGTGGCTTCAGTGCCACCATCTGTGCACAAACAGAGAGACTCGGTCTAGTGTCAGGTGACAGACGTCTCCCCCGATGCCCAGCAGGACCCAGAGCCCACAGAGGTGGCTTTGCCTGGGGCTGGGGCCAGGGACGCCGTGGCCCCGGGCAAGTTGCTCCTGTCCGTGAACCTCAGTTTCCCCTCTCTCGCCCATTCCTGGCTTGGCCTGCGCAGGCGGTGGAAGAGCCGTGGGCAAGGGGACCTGTGATTGGCCGGTTGGAAGCTTCGGGCAGCCTCGGGGGTGGGGCCTTCTGTCTCCAGGCTGAGCTTCCTAGATGACAAGGTCATAGGTCGCGGCAGGGACCCTGTGAGCATGGCGCTCCTTCTGTGAGACCCGCCCAGCTGGGGGCTCCTCGGTGCCCCCCGCACAGTCTCCGCGGATGGGTGTGCAGTGCCCGCGCTGCTCTGAACGCGCAAGCCTGAAGAGGCGCCACAGCTCCCAGCGCATGGAGCCCCCGGAGCAGGAGCCCAGCCGGGGCCGGGGCTGTCTCCCGAGGGGTCAAACACGCGTGTTCTAGAGGGGGGCTCTCGCGGAGGGTCCACAGTGTAAAAGACCGGTGTGGGGTGTGCCTTCGTGGTGCCTGGAGGCACTGGTGGCTGTCACGGCAGGGAGGGGACTGAGGTCCAGAACCCTGGCCAGAGCGAAGCAGGCGCTGGGTTGTTCTTATTGGCAGAGTTGGTTTTTACGCGGTTCCACCCAAGAGGTGATGGAGACAATGTCCGCCTAACGTGAGGCCCTACAGAAGGCTCATGACCGAAACAGGGACCCCCAGGGCTTCGTTGAAGGGGCCTCTTCCTGCGACCACACAGCCCAGCAGCCAGCGGGACTGCCGGTGTAGTCACTGCCCGCGCTGACGACGGCGGGCATCTAATTCTGAACGTCAGGTGACGTCGGATACGACGGCCCAGGTTCAGGCAGGGGCGGCGTCCACTGCGCTCAGCCCTTTCTTTGCAGACCCTGAAGTGGAGTCAGTGTGCGCCCGGCTCCGCGCCGCGGGCCTGGAGAATGTAGCCGAGCCCTAGCCGGTGGCTCCAGCTCCCAGGAGCCCGTGTGACCGTGCCCTTGTCCTGGCAGGTGGAGCAGGAAACCCGAGTGGGCGGTGTTCAGCTTCCGTTTGGCCAGCACTCCGACCCGGGTGGTGTTAGTGATTAACGCGAAGCCACTTTCTTCCGTTTCCGCGTTTAAAGGTCACGTGTGTGGTTCCAGGTGGATCTTGGCGTTAGGGACTGGCCTGTGGTGTGTGGGGGCCAGGGAGAGTGCCGGAGCTAGTTCCCGGTGCTGCCGGCGGGACTGTGCAGGAGAGAGTGAAACCCTCAGCGGCTGTGGCACCTGCCAGGGGCACGGACGGCAGCTGTGCCGTTCTGCAGCCGGGTCACGCACGGGAACAGGCACGGTGTCACCCCGCCAGTGACACTGCCCTTACGGCAGTAAAGAATGTGTCTCGTGTACACTGATGTTGGGTGGTGGCTGGTGAGCGTGGTCAAAGCCTGTCGAATCCCCGGCAGGTGTTGGGCCAGGAGGCCGTCCCCTCCCCGCCCTACCAGTCACGGGCGCCACGGTGGCCAGGGACTTGGTAAAGCTCCAAGGAGACCAGTCCATGACTGTCGGAAAGGAGCGGGGGGAGGGACTCCTCCCTGGGGCCGCAGCCCTGCCTTCCGCTGTCTCCAAGGCTGGGAGGGGTGAGGTTCCACGTCCTGTCCGGGGGCCGTGCACGTGGGCGACACAGCTCCTGGGCTGGGAGGGCGCCGTGGCAGGAGGGGCAAGGTTCCACGTCCTATCCCGGGGCCGTGCACGTGGGCGACACAGCTCCTGGGCTGGGCCACTTGCTCAAGGTCCTAAGGATCCGTTTCGTGACCTTTCCGGCTTTCCAGGCCATTTACGGTTTCCGTGAACGCTGGAGGAACTGGCAGGACCAGTTCTGAGCTCCTTAAACCTAAACCATTCCTTGTCGTCTGCAAGCCAGTGTGCGGCTGTGTCAGTCGCCAGCCGGTGACTTGTCACAGGAAGTCCCGGGGGTGTTGACACTGCTGGGTTCTGGCGAGCAGGCGCCCCAGAGCACCGGCGGTTAAACCTCCCTGGAAACTGCGGGGATTCCGGAAGCCCAGAGAACAGCACGGGCCAGCCGGGGCCTGAGGGGCGTGCCCGCTCGCTCACGCTTGTCTTCCTCTCTCTCCACAGTGGCATCATCGGGGAGCGCCTGCCGATTAGGTATTACCTGACTTTCGGCATGCTTGCCAGCGGCGCCTGCACCGCCCTGTTTGGGTTGGGCTATTTCTACGACGTGCACAGCCTGGGGTTCTACGTGGTAACCCAGGTAAGAGCCAGGTCCACGGCGTGCCGGGCTGAGGGGCGGGGCTGTTCAGGTCGCAGGACCAGAGCTCCGCCGAGAGACGAGGGGCAGGACTGTGTCCGGGCTGAGGCTGGGGTCGCCGGCCTGGGAAGCCCCCTCCCTTGTGTGATCCAAATCCCGACAGCCAGAGACTGCTGTGTCCCAGGGGCCTCTGCAGCAGCCTGCCTGGAGCTCCCTGGAGCCGTCAGACCCCGGCCGGGCTGAGACGAGGTCTTGTCTTGCTGCAGGCTCACCCCCTCCAGAGTGGAGGGCTGTGGGGTGCAGGAGGGAAGAGGAGCCGCGCGAGGCGCTAGCAGGGGCGAGGCCCCGGGAGGCCAGCTCTGCCCTCCTCCGGCCCCGGCCATCCGCCCTCCCAGCAGCCCTGTGGCTGCGTGGCTGACCAGCACGGGGAGACGCAGTAAAACCTCCAGGGCCAATCGAATCTAACTCTGCTTCCCAAGACTTTTCTGTGACACTTGAAGGAGTTTTAAGGACAAAAGTGACTCCCACCGGGTTAGCGCGAGAGCGGAGCCGCGAGTGTGGGTGCTGTGCAGGAGAGCGGCTGGGTGGCGTCTGTGCCGTACCCTCCCCTACCCCAGGGAAGACCAACCGGGAGACAGGCTTGTGGTGTCTTCACCGTAAGGAAACGCCGATGTCTGAGAGCTGGATCGGACCTCATTCAGTGGGTGCGTGCGTCAGGACGTCACGCGGCGCCCCGGAAACACGTGCGATTTTCCCGTGTTTGCTGTGGCCCAGCAGGTTAAGCTGCCACCTGTGGCACTGGCATCCTCTATGAGCACCGGTTCAAGGCCCGGCTGCTCCACTTCCCATCCAGCTCCCTGCCAATGCCCCTGGGAAGCAGCAGAGGACGGCCCGTACCTGGCCCGCTCTCACCCACATGGGGACCTGGGTGGAACTCCTGGCTCCTAGGTTCAGCCTGGGGAGTGAACCACAGAGGGACAGTTTCTCTCTCTCTGTCTCTCTGCCTTTCATAAAAATAAATCTTTTTATACAAATTTAAAGTGACCACGCTTGTGTATTGTCCTGGGCACCCACAGTGTGGGTTCCAGACGCCCCCTTGAGCTCTGCCCAGTTCCTTCTGTAACTCAGTGTGGTCCCTGCACGGGGCCTGTGCCCAGCTGCCGTCAGCATGAGACTGCCTCTAGGGTACTTGGTACTAGGTACTTGGTACTAGGTACTAGGTCACCACACGGTGTCACCATCACCAGGCTGTGTCACCTGTCACCACACAGTGTCACCCATCACAAGGCTGGCTGTTACCTGTTGCCACACGGTGTCACCGTCACCAGGCTGTGTTGCCTGTTGCCATGTGGTGTCACCCATCACCAGGCTTTGTCAGCTGTCACCACACAGTGTCACCCATCACAAGGCTGGCTGTTACCTGTTGCCACACGGTGTCACTGTCACCAGGCTGTGTTGCACATTGCCACACGGTGTCACCCCTCACCACATGATGTGGCCTGTCACCACGCGGTGTCACTGTCACCAGGCTGTGTGGCCTGTCGCCACGCGGTGTTGTGTGGGGCTGACACTGAGAGCAGAGGTCTACACATGCAGTAGACGCGGCCCCCAGGACTGGCGACAGTGTCTATCAAGCTTGGCTGAACCCTCAGATACTGAGGGGCTGAGGATGGAAACACAGGAAGTTAGAGAGAAGGAGTCCCTGGGTGTGGGCCAAGCCTGCTCAGCCAGAGGCCCCCGCCGTCCGCTGGAGGAGTGCCGGGCTCCGCCGGCCACAGCACCAGGCCAGGCCTTGTCCTGCGGGGCGTCCTAGCGTGGCCCTGGGTCTCACGAGACTGAAGCCGAGCTGCTGACCCGGCCCCCGAGTCCCCGCCGGGCGCCCAGGCTCAGGGCTCGAGGAGGGCGGAGGTGCCTCCTCCGGGCTCAGTCAAGGTCACGTGTCTTTCAGAGGTGGCGAGCGACAGCCCTGTCTTTGTGACGTAGCGAGGGAACGCCTGTCGCTGGGAAGCTGGGGTCACAGCGTGGCTTCTGACCATTCAGGGCACAGCCGGATGCTCTTCTCCGTGAGGTTTCTAGATTCAAAAGCGACTGAAGACTTGGCCCTGGGCTGCCGGCGGGCTCTCTGCCTGGTGGTGATGGTGGGCTTCTGGCCGGGTTTTCTTCTGCTTCCCTCCACCTGTTCTAGAGCACCCACAGTAGGCACGTGTCGCTTTTATTAAATGGGCACCTGGCCGCGGCACCTGGGACTCCTGCATCCCATTCCAGGTGCCGGGGTTGGCGTCCTTGCTCCGTGTCGGACCCAGCTCCCTGCTGAGCCACGCTGGGAGGCAGCAGGTGCCGGCTCAAGTTCCTGGGTCTCCGCCTCCCACTCCGTGACCCTGAGGGAGCTCCGGGGTGGGAGACCCCGATGGAGCTCCTGGCTCCTGGCTTTGGGCTGACCCAACCCAGCCCTGACTGTTGTAGGCTGAACCAGAAGTCGCAAGATTCATCTCTAACTCTGATTTCAAATACATAAAATAAACTTTAAAAAAGAAAGATAAGAATTATCTATCTTTGTTTTTTAAGGGTTTATGTTAAAGGCAGAGTGGCAGAGAGAGAGAGAGACAGGTCAGTCTTCTATCTGCTGGTTCACTCCCCAGATGGCCACAACGGCCAGGGCTGGACCAGGCTGAAGCCAGGAGCCAGGCGCTCCATCGGGGTCTCCACGTGGGTGACAGGGACTCTGGTACCCACGTGGGAGACCCCGGTGAGCTCTGCTCATCTGCTGCTTCTTCCCAGGTGCATTACCAGGGAACTGAATCAGAAGTGGAGCAGCCGGGACTCGAACCAGCGCCCCAGGAAGGGGTCCAGGCACCTACAGGCGGCAGCTTAACCTGATGTGCCACAGCAGCTGCCCCAAAAGCTGGAGTCTAGGGTGTGCATACGTGTTTTACATGCACTGTGTATGTATTCCATGTATGTCAGCTATGAGGGCACTTAGCGGGAAGATGGGACTAAAAGTGTGAGTTTATTTTGGTATAAAAATTTGGTGCAAAAGGGTTTTTTCATAAAATGCGGAAATGCCTATTCTAAAAAAACTGCATGGATTTGAAAACTGTTTTTACAGCAAAATAAGTTCATGCTTTTAATTCCATTTTCCACAGACTTTATGAGGAAGCACTCGTGTGTGTGTGCGTGTGTGTGTATGTACATATATATAAAGTATACTACGTATTTAAGATTCTGGATTCGTAGCAGCCCTGTCTGCACATGTATGATTTACAAATATGGATTTCAGAACAAGCCGCTGGCTACTGAGGCTGCAGGGGCTGGGTGTTGCCCCTCCCTGCGTGAGCGGCTCAGCGGAGCTCCTGGGGCACTGAGCCCACCCTCTGTCCCCACCCCCCGCTGCAGGTCGTCAACGGGCTGGTGCAGACCACCGGCTGGCCCAGCGTCGTCACGTGCCTTGGCAACTGGTTTGGAAAAGGAAGGTGAGAAAAAAACGGCCCCGTTTCCAACAGTGTTTATTTTCTAGAAGATTCTGATAACAAGCAGAAAAAAAACTCAGCTTTAGGCTTTCCTGAGACTCAAGACAGCAAACGCCCTCGGTTTCCCCCTCTTTAAAATGAGGAGTCCGCGGGGCCGGTGCTGTGGCACAGTGGGCTAAAGCCCTGGCCTGAAGTGCCGGCATCCCTTATGGGCGCCGGTTCAAGTCCCGGCTGCTCCACTTCTGATCCAGCTCTCTGCTGGCCTGGGAAAGCAGTGGAGGATGGCCCAAGTCCTTGGGCCCCTGCACCCACGTGGGAGACCCGGATGAAGCTCCTGGCTCCTGGCTTCAGATCAGCACAGCTCTGGCTGTTGTGGCCATTTGGGGAGGGAACCAGCAGATGGAAGACCTCTCTCTCTCTCTACCTCTGCCTCTCTGTAGCTCTGCCTTTCAAGTAAATAAATAAATCTTAAAATAAAATAAAATGAGGAGTTTGGAAACCTGGGCCTGTGGCCTGCTGTGAGCTCTGTGTCCCTGGGGCTCCGCCCCTCCTGGCCTCCTGGGAGCAGAGCTGGGGGGGCGGTGGCCGAGCCTGCACTTTAACTCGATGCCCAGAAGCCTGGACCTGAGGCCCCACACGGGACCCAGCGCTGCGACCCTGCCTGCATCGGGGCTCTGGACAGTGTGCGTGAGGACACACGGCCCAGCCAGGGTGGGGCTCAAGACAGCCGGGGACGCGGAGTGAGCGGGGAGGCCCTGCCGGATTCTGCGCTCCGGCCGCCAGCACAGGGCAGCTCCAGCCTGGTCACCGAGGCCGCGCCTCCCCGCCTGGCTTCAGATTGTGAGCCTCCAAGAATGTCTGTTTAAAATCGTAGAAGCAGCGAGAGTAGAGGGCGGTCCCGTTTCCCATGAGCCTCTGGGGTCCCTGCCTGCTGGCTCCTTGTCGCTGGCCGTGCACGCCGCGCCCCTGCCTGTGCAGCCCCTCTCACCAGCGCGGTTCTGTGTCCTGCAGGCGAGGCCTGATCATGGGCGTCTGGAACTCCCACACATCCGTGGGCAACATCCTGGGGTCCTTGATCGCCGGCTACTGGGTGTCCACCTGCTGGGGCCTGTCCTTCGTCGTGCCGGGGGCCATCGTGGCGGCCATGGGGATAGTGTGCTTTCTCTTCCTCATCGAACGTAAGTACGCCGGCTGCGGCCGGGACCCGGGGGCTTCCGTGTGCCGGGGGCAGTGGGGCCGGGGTGTGCCTTGGCTGTCCTCCCAAGGGGCTGCCTGCTCACGCAGACCTTCCGAGCAGGCATCTCCCCCGGTCTTGCTGCGTTTCCTGCCATTCCAGGGTACCCTGTCCAGGTTCCTTCTTTCCTGTCCTCAGCACCAGGCGTTCGTGTCCCGGAACCTCAGCTGCCTGGGGCTGGCGCTCACACGCAGGGGTGCAGGCCTGGGGCTGGCGCTCACACACAGGGGTGCAGGCCTGGGGCTGGCGCACACACGCAGGGGTGCAGACCTGGGGCTGGCGCACACACGCAGGGGTGCAGGCCTGGGGCTGGCGCACACGCACAGGGGTGCAGGCCTGGGGCTGGCGCTCACGGGCGGGGTGCAGGCCTGGGGCTGGCGCTCACACTCAGGGGTGCAGGCCTGGCCACAGCGCTCACACACAGGGGTGCAGGCCCAGCCATGGCGCTCACGGGCAGAGGTGCAGGCCCGGCCACAGTGCTCATGGGCAGGGGTGCAGGCCCAGCCACGGCACTCACAGGCAGGGGTGCAGGCCCGGCCACGGCGCTCACACACAGGGGTACAGGCCTGGCCACAGCGCTCACACACAGGGGTGCAGGCCCGGCCACGGTACTCACAGGCAGGGGTGCAGGCCCGGCCACGGCGCTCACACACAGGGGTACAGGCCTGGCCACAGCGCTCACACACAGGGGTGCAGGCCCAGCTACGGCGCTCACGGGCAGGGGTGCAGGCCCAGCCACGGCACTCACATGCAGGGGTGGAGGCTCGGCCACGGTGCTCAAACACAGGGGTGCAGGCCCGGCCACGGTGCTCAAACACAGGGGTGCAGGCCCGGCCACGGCACTCACATGCAGGGGTGCAGGCTCGGCCATGGCGCTCACAGGCAGGGGTGCAGGCCCGGCCACAGCGCTCACACGCAGGGGTGCAGGCCCGGCCACGGTGCGCACACGCAGGGGTGCAGGCCCGGCCACGGCGCTCACACGCAGGGGTACAGGCCCGGCCACGGCACTCACACGCAGGGGTGCAGGCCCGGCCGACCTGGCTGCACCTGCTCAGCCCAGTCTTGCTGCTGGACACGAGCTGCCTGCCGGCGCGTGTGCTTGCTGAGAAGCCGCGTCCTGGACCACATTCTAGAACCGCAGTGTGACCCAGGACTGCGCGTCTTCATTAGCTGAGGACAGTCGAGCTCCTCGTCCAGTTCCGGAGTCAGAACCAAACTCCTGATGTCATTGAGCCGGGAGTTAATTTTCGGAGTGGAGATGGGCAGGCAGGGATCTGAGCACCCCCCCCCCCCACACACACACACCCCGGGAGAGACGCCAGCGCCGCGTCAGGGCTGCGTGCGACGTTAGGCGCTTTCAGGGCCGCCCCTCCAACCGGTGTCAGGCGGGGGCCCCCCGGGCAGCAGGGCTCCAGACCCCGCCCCCGCCCCGCCCCCCTAGCGGGCCCCTTGTGGGTGGGCGTCCCTGACCCTCGCGTCCTGGACTGCTGGAGCTGCGGACGCAGGGCGGTGCTGGGCTCCAGGTGACGGAGTCCACACGGTGCCCTGGGCCCTGAGGGAGGTGCGTGTGAACAGCCGAAGGCGCTGCGGGGGCGGGGGGGCTGCACGGTGAGGAGGCAGCGCCACCGTGTCCGGGCGGCCAGGGTGGACACTGCACGCTACCAGCGGTGGCCGGGGCTGTCTGTCCTGCTCCTTCACCGCCCCCTGCCCAGGGCGAGGCCCGAAAGACGGGTGCCCCCACCCTGCCCTCCGCGTCCCAGCCAGGGGACATGTACACTCCTGTCCTGCAAGGCAAAGGCCCAGGGGGAGCCGCGCGTGGGGGCTGGGCGGCTCTCGGGAGGTGTGGGCCTCCCCTGGCCTGCCATTAAGGGTGTCACAGCACAAGTAGAGAGACTGGGGGCGGTGATGTTCCCGCGGTGTCACCCTGTGTCTCGCGGGAGCGACCTTGGCCGTGGGAGACCTACAGCCCTGCAGCTCTGTCCGAGCTCACGGCACGGTTTGTCCAAGGCTGCATGAAGACCAGGCTGTGTAAAACAGACGCCCCTGGAGCCCAAAGGAGGCGCTGGGGCTGGTGCCCACGCAGGCCTGGTGGCCGGAAGCCCGGCTGCGGCTCCCGGTGCTTGGCTGCAGGTCCCTGGTGTCATGTTGAAGTCGCAGGGTGCAGCCCGGCTCCTCGGCTCCCCTCTCCTGCTCCTGTCAGGCCGGGTGCTGTGTCTCCTGTAAGTTCGCTCCTGAAGCGTCCCCTGGCCCTGAGGGCCTCCTCGGGAGTGATTCCGGCCCCTGGCCCATGCGCCTTGCTCTTCGTGGTTTTGTATTTCAACACCCTGTGCTCGCCGTCTGCTCCGCCATCCTCGCCGCGGCGTGGGACGCCGTCACTCCGAGCGTGGGCATGAGCTGGGGGATTGCTGCACCTGCTCCCGCACGTGGGGCTGGCAGTCGGGGGTCACGGGCCGAGAGGCGGCGTAGCAGGCTGGTGGGGGGTGGCTAAGCTGCACCCTCACCCCTCCTGGGCCTGTTCTGGTCTTTTTCTTAAACTTGTGCTCACTCAGTGAAAGTCCAAGACGTTCCTGGTTCTATTACGTGAAGTCGCGCGGTGCACTCGGGGTGGATACCGGTGAAGTCGCGCGGTGCACTCAGGGTGGATACCGCGAGGTCCTGGGGTGTGGGTGGCTCCTGAAGGTCCCTAGAGAGAAGTGAGTGAACGAGTTCACCCACGCACACGCTTTCTAGTGTGTGTCGTCTCCCCGGCTGGAGCAGCTAGAACCTGCCCGGTCGGCGTGTGTCCTAGGCTCGGGCCCGCCGGCTGTGTGGCTGACACCTGCGTGTGGGCGGAGCGGTCAGCCTTGCTCTGTTTGCCTTGCAGATCCCAAGGACATCCGGTGCTCCTCGGCCCTCCCGGCGGTAAGCACTCGCGCTCGGCCCGCGCTCTCGCTCTCTCAGCCTGGTCCGGTCTGTGCGGTCGCTGGGGCAGCTCTGGGGAGGGGCCAACAGCAGTATATCCGGGGCCTCCGTGCTGAGGGCAGCCAGAGGCTGGGCCTGGCCACGCCTCCCAGGAGACTGGAGGGACATGCGAGGGTGAACTGGTCGACGTTTGAAATGGGTGGCGTGTGTCTCCTGAGAGGGGAGACACAGGCCTGCCCAGCACCCTGAGTGCTGGGACCATGTCTCCTGTCTCCTGTGCCCACACTCGCTGGGTGACGATGGCTGGTGATGTCAGAGACGCGCCAGCCCCGGCTCCAGCCCTGGCCCTGGCCCCCAGCCCCAGCCTCGGCCCCCGGCCCCGGCCCCGTCCGCCCTCGCGTGGCCTGCAGGACCTGGCTCCTGTGATTGCCCCCATCGCCTTCCCCGCACACACGTGACGTGCAGTACCAATCGCTGTCTGAGACGCAGCCCCCGGCGCTCAGATGCCGCCCTAGCGGTGCCCCCGCCCCCCACCCACCCCATCTTCCTCCCACACTGCTGGGACGGCCCACTGAGGCCTGGCCGTGGTCTGACCACCAGTGTGGGCGGGGCTGCAGCCTCAGCCCAGTGGCTCTGACACCAGCGTGGGATGCAGGTGCCCCACCTTGGCTTCCTGTTGCCACATCCAGGCTTCCATCCTTGTGATGCGCACGGCACGCTGGGTGGGGGGGGGGGCGGGGAGCACTGGCCTGGCCCCTTGGCCGTGGCCCCTGTCTCTGCTTCCGTGGCAGGAGGCCCGCCCAGGCCCAGCTGTCCCCACAGGCCTTCCTGCCTGCCAGGCTGGGGTCCCTCAGCCACAGCCGGCTATCTTCTCAGGCTGTGTCCCAGCCCCATCTTGCTTGAGGACTGCTGTGCCCCGCGGGCAGGCCTGGCCCAGGGTCCCCCCAGCTTCCCCCTCAGCCCACGCCTGTCCTTGCCAGGTCAGTTCTGCTCTTGGTGCAGGGACCACCCTCTTCCAGGCTGCTGCTGCCCCTCCTCCTCCTCCTCCCTCTCCCTTCCCCCTCCTCTTCCTCTCCTCCCATCCCCGCCCCCAGTCCGCTCTTGCTCCTCTAACACCACTTCCTCTCACGTGAGAACGTGCCGCACGCGTGCCACAGTCTCGCCGCGTGTCACCCGGGAGCTCCCATCACGCTCCGCAACAGGCTTCGGCCCTGTTTCTCGTCTGTCTCCCCCAGCGCGTGGGCGAGCCACGCCGGCCGGCCCCCGGCCCCCAGAGCAGTGCCTGGCGCCAGTGAGGGAGGAGCCACGCCCCCCGTCCCTTTCCTTGGAGAGAAGGGTCTGGTGCTTGAGTGAACAAAAATGAGGACCGTAGGGGACTGGGAGACCCCGGCCTCTGGGGGGCGCTAGCGGGCGAGCTTCGCAGACGGGCAGCTGGCGTTGCCAGGCGTCCACGCGTGCACGGACGTGGTCATTGTCAGTGGGCTCTGGGGTCGGGCAGAACCTGGGCGCTCACCCTCCTCTAACCAGGGCTCCGTCCACCCAGTGGGGGCCAGGCTAGGGGCAGGGAGCAGGCGTGCGAGGGGAGGTCTGTCTGTCATGCGGTGTTCAGGAGGACAGAGACCCCCCCCCCCCCCCCGTAGGCAGGAGCGTTGCTGCTGCTGTGGCTCGGGTGTGCGCCGGGCGGAGAAAGCCGCTTCCTTCTGCCGGGTCGCATCCTCTCTGAGCAGCTCACCGAGGTCCCAGGGTGCCGTGGGGCAGGGCGGGCCCAGGAACTGGCTCCTCCTCTTCTTCCTGCCTGGGGGGCAGTCATGGACGGAGACGTTGGCCTGACTTCCGGGGACACAGTGCTGTCCTGCAGGATCGCCGCCCCGTCTGTGCAGGGCGTGCTTGTCCCAGGGCCCTCGGTGGGGAGCCCAGGGCGGGTGTGGCCGGCCCCTGCTGCTGTCTGTCTGTCTGTCTTCCCTTTGGCATCCGCACAGCTTCTGTGCAAAGCAAAACGCGGTCGGAGGGTGTCCCAGACGTGCCAAGCTGGTCAAGAAGCTTGTGAAAGTGGGACTGAGGGGAAAAGTTAAAATACAAACTTTATTTCTCGGCCAAAACTCCATTAAATGCAAGTCGTTCTTGTAAGCGGTGTTGTGAGCCAGTTGGCCGCACGCCGGGAACGTGGTGATGTCCGTGCAGTCTTGTTCACGGTGTCGGCTGAAGGGAGCAGGTGTCCCTCAAGGCTTGTCTGAGCCAGGAGGCTGAGAGCAGTCGGGGGAGCGGCTGGGGACAGGCGGTGGGAGCTACCGCTCCCCCACCCCACGGCAGCTCTCCCGGGACGGCTCCCACCTGCTGAGAGGCGTGAGTGGGGCACTGCCTGTGGCCTTCCTCTCTGGGAAGCTGCCCGGGGGTTTTAGCCTCGGTGACTTGCCCAGAACGCTCCCCAGGGAAGCAGAGGTCATGCATCAAAGTCTGCAGAAAATGCTCTGAGCTCCCCAAAACCCCGGCCGTGACCTTGGCCCTGGACTGGCTCCCCTCGGCTCTGCTGGGACACTGCCCTTCTTGGTCGCGTGGCTCTGATCCTGCCTCGTCTTCGGGACCACCCGGGAGGGTCATGGGCCACCTCCCATTCCAGGACGCGTCTTCCCCACCCAAAAGGAGGTTCAGGCTCCGCCACCGCAGGCCATCAGTGCCGTCTCCTCCCTGCTTCGTGGACTTCTGCAGAGACGCCCTCATAGAACCAACCCTGGGCAAGTCTATCTAGAAGTATAGTTGTTAGAGTAATTATTTTTTTCTAATATTTTTACGTTTTGGTGATGGAAATTTGAAAACATGAAGAGGTGAGAGTAATAGTGCAGTGGACCCCACGTTGCCCGGCCGCCGGCTCATCTCGCCGTATCAGCACCCCGTCCGGGACCGCCCGTCCACCTCCTGCTGGTTTACTCTGTGGGCAGACGCCACCGTTTCACTGCACATTTCTAAAAGATAAGGGTTCTTTTATTCAAAGCAGAGAGCAATTGTACCATTTTCACCCCTAAGAAACAAAAGAAGAGTAGGAAAAAATCAGTGAACAAAAATGGGTGCTCTGAAAAGGGCGACCAGCTGGGCAGGCCTGTGGCGAGGCCGGCGGGCAACTGAAGGAGACGCAGAAGACCGGGCTCAGGAGCAGTCACGGGGCACTGCCACTCCCCTGACAGGACGAGAAGGACCCCACGGCGGTGCTGGGAGCCCCTGTGTGCAGCAAGGTGGAAGCCACTGAGCTCACGAGACGGAAAATGTGATCAGACCCGGAAGAGGCACAGAGGTGGAATTGTCCATCTTAAATTCAAACAAAGGGCCCAGGACCAGGTAGCTTCACAGTGGAGTCTGCGCAGTCCGTACTGATTATTCAGACCCCTCCGGAAGCGACCAGTGGCAGGGACACCTGCCAAGTCGCCCTGAGACGCCGTCCTGGTAACAGCTCAGCAGGACCAAGATGGGGGACGGTGGCCCCAGCCGTCCTGTGGATCGGTGACACCCCAGTCCAAAACCAGCTCTCACCTTCATGTCGGCTGCTTTTTTTTTTTTTTTTATTTGACAGGTAGAGTTAGACAGTGAGAGAGAGAGACAGAGAGAAAGGTCTTCCTTTGCCGTTGGTTCACCCCCCAAATGGCTGCTATGGCCAGCACGCTGCACCCATCCGAAGCCAGGAGCCAGGTGCTTCTCCTGGTCTCCCATGGGGTGCAGGGCCCAAGCACTTGGGCCATCCTCCACTGCACTCCCGGGCCACAGCAGAGAGCTGGCCTGGAAGAGGAGCAGCTGGGACCAGAACCGGCACCCATATGGGATGCCGGCACCGCAGGCAGAGGATTAACCAAGTGAGCCACGGCGCCGGCCCCTCGGCTGCCTTTCAACAAGAGTGCTGAGACCTGGTGGGGCAGGGGGAGCAGAGTCCGCAGGCGCCGGGACGGCGGAACCCCAGACACAGGGAGTGAGCCTGGACCTCCGCGCACGCCGTCCACAGACTCAGGGAAGGAGCTCAGGCCACAGAGCTCTCAGAAGAAGGCCGGGAGTGAATCTTCATGACGCTGCGTAGATCCGACTCCGCAGGCGCAAGGGGTGGGAGCGCTGGTGGACCTGACGCCTGCGAAGTGTGGACAGACAGCGCCTGGAACGAGGCTTGCGGACCAGGCTCTGGTCAGGGACTTTGTCCCCGATGGACAAAGACCTCTGACAGCAGTGGAAAGGCGACCCAGTTTAAAAACAGGCAAACGACTTGGAGAGACGTTTCTCCAAAGACATGCAGGTGGCCAGGAGCTCCCGGAAGAGCTGGCGACGCACCACGTCGGGGACACACAAGGAGAGGCACCGGATGTCCGCCGCCGGGCTGGGACCGGATGGGGGAGGGTGTTGGGGGGGCTGGGCGGGGCTGGGCGCTGGGGAGGAGGTCACAGCCGGCTGGGGCCCCTGCCCCGGCAGCACCGAGCGTCCCCGTGACCCAGCCGCTCCACTCACAGCAGTGTGTCCAGGAGAAATGGGAGCCCACGTCCAGGCCAGGTGACTCTTCATGGCCAACGTGTGGGACCCGTGCAGGCGCTGGTCAGCCGGCGGTCGGGGACTCAGACATGGCATTGTCACCGTGGAATCTTCTCTGGCAATGAAAGGAGTTAGTGCGGATGTGTGCGGCGACACGCGTGAGCCCTGAAGACACAGTGCCGGATGAAGGAAGCCCATCGCGAAAGCCACATGTCACGGGAAAGTCCCATGGCACAGAAGCCTTGTGGCGCGGTGCTGCCCGGTGAAGCGCCCAGGAGTCTGGAGGGGCGGTGGCCATGTGGTGAAGCTGTGGAGCTCACGGGCCAAAAGCTGCCGCGTGTGGACCTGCACTGAGCAAGCAGCCTACTGTGTGCGCCACGTCCAGCCTCGCTGCTGCGGACAGGAGTGCGCGGACGCACGGACGGTCGGACGGGCAGCTGGGCGAGCGCACAGCCCTTTCTGTCTCCATGGTCGGGTCACCATCGAGGTCTCCCGTTGTCTCCTAGCTGGCTTTGCATTTCTTTTTAAGATTTATTTATTTGAGAGACAGTTACAGACAGAGACAGACAGAGAGAGAGAGAGAGAGAGAGAGAGAGAGAGAGGTCTTCCATCTGCTGGTTCACTCCCCAGGTGGCCACAATGGCCAGAGCTGTGCTGACCCAAAGCCAGGAGCCAGGAGCTTCTTCTGGGTCTCCCACGTGGGTGCAGGGGCCCAAGCACTTGGGCACCTTCCACTGCTTTCCCAGGCCACAGCAGGGAGCTGGATCAGAAATGGAGCAGCCGGGACTGGAACCGGTGCCCGTATGGGAGCTGGCACTGCAGGCGGAGGCTTTACCCGCTGCGCCACAGCGCCCCCCCTTATGTAGTTGCATTGCTCTGCACAGGAGCGGTGGGGGCTGTTCCCCGTCTTCGGCTGCGTCACTGTCGGCCCGGCGTCTGCGTTGCTGTTTGCTGTCTGTGCCTTGTTCTTGTTGGGCAGGACGGAGCTTCCCGCATCGGGCTCGTGGGCCCGGTCCCTGGGCACGCGTGTGAAGGGACCCTCTGTCCCGGCTCTCCTGTGAACCTGGAACCTTGATCCAACCCAGACTTGGTTTTTCCAGTTCTGTTTTGCTTCCAGCGACTCAGTTAGGACACTTGGAACGGGAAGCAGTCAGTCCTTTAACGGCCGTCTCTGCCTCGGCGGCTGCAGGGCCGTGAGCTTCGTCCTTTGAGTTGTGTGCGCCCGCTGGGTTACGCGGGCTGAGGAAGCCGTGCAGGGGCCACCTTCCTCCTCGAGGCTGTGCCCAAGTCACCGCCGCCTCCGTGACAGCTGGGTTCCCGCCGGCAGCAAGCAGCGGGGAAACCAGGCGCTGTGGCGCAGGCAGGATGGGAAGGGGCTTCTGCCTGCCTGGTCCAGTCGTGCAGGAAGGCGTAGCCAGCCCGGGTGGCGTGGTGGGTCCCTGCGCCACCGGCCCAGGTTCCTCCGGCCTCTGCTTTGCCCCTGTGTGTGGCGTTCATGCCGGAGCTGGTATCCAAACAACTGAAACAGTGTTGCTGCTTAGTAATTATTTGTCGAATAAACCGGTGAAGGATTAGTCCAGGTTGCTGCTGGAGCTCCAGCCATTACATCTGTATCCCAGCCAGGAGGAAGGGGGGGTTCTTCCTAGAAGGTCCTCACATCATTCGCTGCAGGGAGCGAGCAGAGGCTGCGCCTTCAGCACCCGGGTTCCTGGCTGAAAACCTGGGGCTCTGGGGACGTGGAGAGGAGGGCGCGGGGGAGCCTGCCTGCCCGGCTGGAACGGTCAGCCAGCCTGCTCACCATCCCGGCCCGCTGGGGGCGCCCGCACACACCGAGCCCCTCCGAGTGCAGGACGCGGACTGCGCACCTCTTCTGCTTCAGCCTTGCGCTCTGGGCGCTCAGAGCCGGGGGCGCCTCTGGGTCTCCCGCTGTGGGAGTCCTGGGGCGGGGGCACAGCTGGCCTAGACCAGGCCCTGGAGGGCCCCCATCTCTGCGCCCAAGGAACCGCCTTCGTCTCCACCCCTGCCCCGTGGCGGGAGAGTGGGCAGTGACCCTGGGCTGGGAGCTGTCTGCCCATCCCCCCCCCCGCCCCCTGAGCAAGCCACGCCCCCTTCCCCCCTGGGAGAGCCCTCCTCTCCCTCCTCCTCCCCTCCTCCCCAGCCAGGTCACCTGTAGCAGGCCTCTGCCCTGTTGTCTCTCAAGCCACGGCGAAGGCCACGGCCACTCAGGAGGCTGGGCCTGCTCGCACCAGGTCTCAGCTTAGCCTCCCCGCAGGCTCTCTGTCTGGGGGTCCGGGGGTCCGGGGGTCCGGGGGTCTGGGGCCCCGGGACGGCGCTGTGCAGCCCCGGGCCTCAGCCGTGTCTCGTCTGGGCAGCCGTGCACTTGGGTTTCATTTCTGCTTCAGTAGTTGCTCTAATCGGAACTCTCCCTCCCTCCCAGCATTCCAGAGGCGTTGAGAATGGCACCAGCAGATTCAGGCTCCAGAAGCAAAGCTTGAACCACGAGAAGAACAGGCCCCTGGTAAGCCCCCCGCCATGCCCTCGCGGCCGCCCGCTCCCTGCAGGCTCGGAGGCGGCGCCCCGGCGTCTCCCGTGCCGGCTCTCTCTGGACGGCAGGCTGCACTCGTGCTGACTGTTAATCACACCTGAACGCGGTTCAGCCACTCAACAACGGGCGCTGTCCCGGGCGGGGGACAGGGGCACGGGGACGCTTGGTCACCTGCCCTGAGTGCCAGGCCATGGGGGAGTGGGCGTGTCCCAGGCCTGCTCTGAGAGGGGCCCGGGGGCAGAGCTGTGCAGGAAGTGAAGGGACAGCGTCAGGCCTGGCCGGGCGAGGTGAGGGGACAGAGTTGTTCCACCCCTCCCCCGCTTTGCAGCCGGGCACTGAGGCGTTGCGCACCTGCCTGGCGGGGGGGGGAGGGCACAGTGAGGCCCAGCAGCCTCCCCGGTGGCTTGTGGGTGGCCTCATGTCACCTCTGCCTGGCTGACCCCTCAGCCCACAGGGACACAGTGGACCTGTTTTTTTTTTTTTTTTTTTTTTTTTTTAAGATTTATTTTATTTATCTGAAAAGTAGAGTGACAGAAGGAGAGACCGAGAGAGAGAGAGAGAATCTTCCATCTGCTGGGTCACGCCCCAGATGGCCACCACAGCTGGGGCTGGGCCAGGCTGAAGCCACGGGAGCCCAGAACTCCATCCGGGTCTCCCACATGGCCGCCAGGGACCCCGGCACCCCTCCGCTGCTTCCCAGGGCCATCAGCAGGGAGCTGGGTTGGAAGCAGAGCAGCCGGGACTCGAACCGGTGCCCTGGCACTGGGTGCCACTGTCAGCTGGTTTTAACCCGTCGCAGCACTGCCCGCTTTTTTTCCTTTATCACTTGGAGAAATGTATTCATGGTGGTCAAAGCGCTACACTGGGGAAAACCGTACCATGTGCTTTGTGGTCCTTGGGTTTGGGCTTCGCACTGTGGTGTCACACGGGAGTCGGTTCAAGTCTCGGCTGCTCCACTTCCAATCCAGCTCCGTGCTCATGGCCTGGGAAGCAGCAGAAGGTGGCCCGAGTGCTTGGGCCCCTGCACCGCGTGGGAGACGTGGATGCTGTGCCGTGCTCCCCATGTGCCTGTGTGTGTAGCGATTTTGTGTTTCGTGATTTAGGACCGACAGAGAGACCGACAGACAGCTGCAGAGCTTCCTTCGCTGGTCCACAGCCCCCAGGAACTCACTCCAGGTCTCCCACAGGGGCGGCAGGGACCCAGCCACTTGAGCTGCCACCTGCTGCCCACCGGGGTCTGCGCCATCGGTCGCCAGAGCAGGGAACTGAGCCCAGGCACTCGGCCAGGGGGTGGGGGTCTTCCCCGCGAGGTCAGACACTGGCGCCTGGCTGTGTTCTGACGGCCGCCTTGCCCTCGGGAACGGTGCACGGGCTGAGGCTCCACCCCCACGCGAGGTTCTGCAGATCCCGGAGGGGACCCTAGCAGGCAGATGGAAACCTGCCCGCCCAGAGGCCAGGAGGGGTGCCCCTCGCCCCCGGCTGAGTGCTTAGGAAATCTGCCAGGTTTCCTGCCCAGTCTCCTCCGGAAACGAGCGGCCGGGATTTGGTGGCAGGGAGCCCTGGCGGAGACGCAGGCCCAGGGCTTGTGCTCCACCGGGGCCCTCCCTGCTCACACAGGAGCAGAGGGTCTGGGCCCAGGGCCCAGGGTGGCCAGGCCTGTGGCCGCTGCCATCGCCACTCTCAGGTCAGAGCGCCCCCTCCTGGCTGAGGCGACTCCGCGCACGGTGTTGTTTTTCTGTGGCCAGCATCTCATCCAGGTCTCAGGAGTGCAGTTGTCAGGGGGTGGGGCCGCCCCAGAGCCTGCCGCAGGGCCTGGGGGCGGCTGGGCCTCCGGTTCTCAAGCCCCCGGGGGAGTCCCGTGTTTAGCCAGCGCTGAGAACTGTGGATCTGACCCCCAGACCGGACAGCTGGGAACTGTGGATCTGACCCCCAGACCGGACAGCTCGCGTAATTCTTGCAGGAAGCGTGTATTCCCAAAACGCAACTGTAGCTCTTCGCTTCCGTATCCCTTCCTGGAATGGCCGCGGGGAAGCCGCTGGCGTTCACGCCTGGCAGTAGCCGTCCCCGGCCTGGACCACCAGAGTGTGGTTAAACGTCAGGTTGCTAGCCAGAGGCCACCCTGGGCCCCGAGCTCGCACCGGCACTGCACCCACACAGGCTGCACCTGCCGCACCTGCCACTCAGTCCTGAATTTCTGGTTTTCGCTGGGAGAATCCTGAAGATCCAGGGTGAGGGCCCAGAGCCCATCACCCGCTGCATCTTCCAAAGCTGCGCTGCGTTCGGAATCCACGCGCAGAGGCTGCAGGGAGATAAATTCCGCGAAGCCTGTCTGGCTTCGTGGAGACTCTGAAGGTGTCTTGTTCATGAACTGTGGACCTCCGGTGCTTTCACGAAGGACTCTGAATTCACACGAACTCCACTCGAGGCGCCCCGAGGCCGGGGCCCCTGCGGAACGTCCGGACGTCGTGAGGGGCCTCAGGACGCTGACGCCCGGGGCCTCGTAGGGAAGTTCCGGCTGGCGTTTCCGCAGAAGTCACCTGCCTCCCCCCCTGCCCCGTGAGGCCACTGGCAGCTTAGCCTCGCGCGTTTCTTCCCGGAGCAGAGCCCACAGCCACCAGGCTGCAGCAGACGGCTAAGCTTCCTTGGCGGCCGTCCCAAAAGCCCAGTTTGGAATGAGGCATGATTCCCCCTGTAGGCCACGCGGTGTTGAAAACTAAGTGGATGGCAAAAACTTTTGCACCAGAATAGACTCATCTTTTTTAAAAAAGAAAAAACAAGATTACTTATTTGAGAGGTAGAGTTACAGAGAGAGAGAGAGAGAGGTCTTCCATCTGCTGGTTCACTCCCCAGATGGCCGCAACGGCCGGAGCTGTGCCAATCTGAAGCCAGGAGCCAGGAGCTTCTTCTGGGTCTCCCACGTGGGTGCAGGGGCCCAAGGACTTGGGTCATCTTCTACTGCTTTCCCAGGCCACAGCAGAGAGCTGGATCGGAAGTGGAGCAGCCGGGACTCGAACCAGAGCCCCTGTGTGTTCTGGTGCCGCAGGCGGAGGCTTCACCGCTACGCCACCATGCCGGCCCCTGGACTCACCGTTTAATTCCGTGTTCCCCGCGCCATTGACCGCGTGCCCGTGGTGTTTCTGTGGGCATCCTCACCTTCCTCTGTCACCCATGGCAGCCCCCTGCGTTCTCTCACCTTTTCAAATTCCTGTCTCTGGGTGGGAGGACCCGGTGTGTCCGTGCTGCTCTGTGCCGCGCAAACGTGACCACGGTGGGAGACGTGGCCGTGAGGAGTGTGCCCTCACCCTCTCTCTGTCGCAGGACCCAGAGATGCAGTGCCTGCTGCTGTCGGATGGCAAGAGCTCCGCGCACGCCAGCCACATGGTCGTTCTGCCCGGGGACAGCGGGAGCGGCGTGGCCGCCATCAGCTTCCTGGGGGCCCTGAGGATTCCAGTGAGTGCCCCCCGGGGTGGAGGTGGGGTGAGGGCGAGTCCGTCAGCCATCTTGAAGACGCCATCCCAGCCCGGCGTTCCCCGGGCTGGTGAAGCCCCGGCGTGGAAGACGGAGCAGCCGGGAGCTGCTGCCGCGGCCTTTACTTGCCCCCACTAGGCTTCCGTTGTTCTGAAAGGTGTTTGCTCTGGTTAGAAATGCAGTATTTCATGGACAAATAGGACTCTGGTCTTAAAGGGAAAAAAAAAAAAGAAAATCCGGCTGCTCTAGACCGGCACCTGTGCGACGGTGGCTGGGGAGCTGAGGCCTGACCCCCGACCCCCAAGCCCATCCTTCTGGGCACTCACCCGCTACCCTGCTGGCCCGGAGGCCTCGGGAGGGGGCGCGGACCTTGGTGCTGCTCTGAGCCCCAGCTGAGCCCAGCCCCGGGAAGTCCGTGCGGGTGCTTGGGAGGGGCCTGCAGCACGGAGAGGACCCGGCCCCGGGGCTGAGTGCCCGCGGGAGGACAGGCTGGCGGACACGCGCTCGGTCTGCCAGCCCCGCGGGCCTGCTGGGGGACAAGGGGCCACGGGGAGCACAGACACGGGAGGACGGAAAACTGGCCCGCGGGGAGGAGGAGGGAGCGGCTGTGCCGCGTTGGGGGCGGCAGAGCCGACGACTTCCCGTGCCTCCTGGTTTTTCCGTTCCTGACTCCACCACTCCCACAGCAGATAGTGGGGTCTGCAGAGGGCGAGGAAGGCGGGGAGCAGCCTGTGCCAGGGAGCCAGGTGGCACCGGCTGTCCCAGGCGCGCCGAGGCCAGGCCATGCCCGCTGGCACTGTCACCTGCCCAGAGCGCTCCCACACAGCCCAGCCGCCTTCCCCAGGCCCTGCCTCAGGTTCAGAACAGAGAGTGCTAGCAGGGTCCGGGAGACACTGGGTCCCCGCAGCGGAGCCTGAGCCGGCGGCAGCCCGCGGAGAGCGCTGGGCCGGGCCCCTGGGGCAGCCAGAGGTTTGAAAACCCGTGTCCCTGCTAGCAGCTGGTGACCTTCCGCGCCACGTGGCGCTGGCTGCCCCAAATGCTGTCTGAAAGTAGGGCGCACACTGGCAATGCCATTGTGGGAGGCGTATGGAGGTGGGGGCAGGCTTGGGAGGCCTGGGCTGCCTGCCTGGCTGTGTGCTGCTCTGGGCATGAAGACAGCTGATTTCCCGGCAGCCCAGTGCGCCAGCCGGCGCCTGGGGCCACACAGCGACTCCCGCGCATGTCCCCGCACGCCTAGGGCAGTGCCGACGCTTCAGTTTGCTCCATTTCAAAGCGAGAGGAATCGAATGTGCACCTTTGCCCCGTTTTGACGGGGGTGCCGAGCGCAGGCAGCCTGGCAATGGGTGGGGGAGGGCTGGGTCCTGGATCCCTCGCCCCTGCTGTCCAGATGGCACCTGCAGTCACTGTGCCACCGGTGCTCACCCCACGCCCGTCTCAGGGGTCCTTCCCTCCGCTCGCCGTTGTCCCCCGCATCCCCTGCTGTGTGTCACGCGTGGCAGAGTGGCGGCCCCAGGCCTGGCGGAGCCGCTGCTGTGTTTCGGGGCAGTTGCGCAGTGCTCCAGGGAAGAGGACGCACTCGGACCCTGGACCACCCCCCGCCACGCCCTGCTCTGCCTGAGCTCCCGACCGGCTCATGCCAGAGAATCAAATGGCCGTGTGTTTCCACTGGAGAGAGAGGCCGACTCTCCAGCTCCAAAAGCCGCCGTGTGCTGGGAGTGCGTCCCTGCCGGCCACGTCTCCCGCCGGCTCGCACTCCTCCCGCCCTGGACAACAGGGCCGTGGCCAAGCCCGGCCAGGTCTGCGGAGGCCGGGCCAGCGGGCGGGCGCTGTGGCGGGTGAGGCCAGCCGGCCGCCTTCTCTTGCAGGGCGTGATCGAGTTTTCTCTGTGTCTGCTGTTCGCCAAGCTGGTCAGCTACACCTTTCTCTTCTGGCTGCCGCTGTACATCACCAGTGTGGGTGAGTCCCCCCGGGGCCCAGCCGTGGGAGCTGCCCCTCCTTTGCTCCTCGGCTGTCTGCAGCCCCGTGTGGGCCACACGGGTGCCTGGAGAGCCGTGCTCTCTAACTGCGTATGGAACACAGTTCAACACAGAATTCAGCTCTCAAACTTCCCAACCGTCGGGGCCTCAGGGCTGGCACGTGGCGTCCCAGCCGTGGCTCCGTGGCTCTGTGGCTCGGGGCCCTTCCTCTTCTGGGGCCGCCCGCACTGAGCGGGGGCAGGGCCGCTGGGATCCGAGCCAGGAAATCCTTGAGGAGCTGACCCAGGCCCTGCTTCCCGGAGACGCACGTCTCCCCTTGTGGGGACGGAGGGGCGGGGACACTGTGGCTGGGGATGGGGACTGGGGGGATGGAGCCTGCCCCTCCGCAGTGTGGGCCCCCTCCCTTGTGTGTGGCCCCCAGGAGAAAGGCGAGCGGGGATCAGCGACCCTCAGAAGAAGGGCTGATGGTGGGGGTGGCCGGGCCCACAGTGGCCTCTGGGCCCTGGGTGTCGGGGAGAGCGAGGAGGAGGAGAGCCCCTGCTTGTCCTTGTCTCCTGTAAATCCGAGTCGGCCAGCCATCACCACAGGGCCTGCGTCACGGTGTCGCAGCTCCCTGGTCAGCCAGCCACCCAGCCATCGCCACGGGGCCTGCGTCACGCTCGCAGCTCCCTGGCCAGCCCCCAGCCATCGCCACGGGGCCTGCGTCACGGTGTCGCAGCTCCCTGGCCAGCCAGCCAGCCATCGCCACAGGGCCTGCGTCAGTGTCGCAGCTCCCTGGCCAGGGCGCCCCCAGAGCTCACTCTGCCGTTTTCCTAGATCACCTGGATGCCAAGAGAGCCGGCGAGCTGTCCACCCTGTTTGACGTGGGCGGGATCTTCGGTGAGTCCCACGGCGGGGGCGGTGCTGGGACCCCCTGGGGACAGCCGGGGTCTCACAGTACCCGAGCCGCGAGGCCATCAGCCCACAGAGGCCTGCCCGTCTTCCTGAGCCGGAGACAGTGGGTGGGGTGGGGGCCCTGGCAGGTGAAGGGGCTACAGCAGGGTGACTGAAGCCCACCCTGAGCCTGCCCCAATGCCCTGGGGCTGTCACCTTCCCCAACAACCCTGGGAGGCCCAGAGCGGGGGGGGGGGGCCTCCCTGGAGTTCTGCACCCAGGTCACACCTTGCCTGCCCCTCCCCCTTGCAGGTGGGATCCTGGCAGGCGTGATCTCCGACCGCCTAGAGAAGAGGGCCTCCACCTGCGGCCTCATGCTGCTGCTGGCCGCGCCCACGGTCAGCCCCGCCCCCACCCTGGGAGTGCTCCCGCCTGCCCCTCCCCCCAGCCTACCTGGTTCGCTGTGCTGTTCCTGCTCTTGGGCAGTGAGGGCCCCTCTCTGGTCAGTCCCCCGTCTGGCAGTAGCACTGGGAGCGGCAGAGGATGGAGGAGCGTGGCCTTGCTGTTTCCTGTGGTGACACAGTGACACTGGCGGTGACGCTGCCACCCCAACCCTTACACTGTGACTCCTCGCCCGTCTGCCTCCCTAGTCTGACTGTGCCCAGAACACAGTCAGGCCCAGTGCTTGGTCAGCGTGGCCCTCGCACACTAAAAGGGTGACTGAGTGTCACCAGGCAGAGAAGCCGAGGAGGCCACGGGCCTCACACAGGGCCCCCAGGGAAGGCTGCCCAGCGCCGACCCCGTTAGCCCAGGAGCTCCGTGGGGATCCTCCTGCCTCCTGCGGTCAGCCAGAGTATGGCCCAGGGATGCTGGCTGGGCTGTGGCCTGGGTCCCATGCTGGGGGTGTGGCCTGGGTCCCACTCTGGGGGTGTGGCCTTGGTTCCATGCTGGGGGTGGCCTGGGTCCCCTGCTGGGGGTGTGGCATTAGTTCCACTTGGGGGTGTGGCCTTGGTCCCACTCTGGGGATGTGGCCTTGGTTCCATGCTGGGGGTGTGGCCTGGGTCCCCTGCTGGGGGTGTGGCATTAGTTCCACTTGGGGGTGTGGCCTTGGTCCCACTCTGGGGGTGTGGCCTTGGTTCCATGCTGGGGGTGTGGCCTGGGTCCCCTGCTGGGGGTGTGGCATTAGTTCCACTTGGGGGTGTGGCCTTGGTCCCACTCTGGGGATGTGGCCTTGGTTCCATGCTGGGGGTGGCCTGGGTCCCATGCTGGGGGTGTGGCCTGGGTCCCACTCTGGGGGTGTGGCCTTGGTTCCATGCTGGGGGTGTGGCCTGGGTCCCATGCTGGGGGTGTGGCCTGGGTCCCACTCTGGGGGTGTGGCCTTGGTTCCATGCTGGGGGTGTGGCCTGGGTCCCATGCTGGGGGTGTGGCCTGGGTCCCACTCTGGGGGTGTGGCCTGGGTCCCACTCTGGGGGTGTGGCCTTGGTTGCAGTGGGTAGGAGTGGCCTGGGTCCCACTCTGGGGGTGTGGCCTGGGTCCCATGCTGGGGGTGTGGCCTGGGTCCCACTCTGGGGCTGTGGCCTTGGTTGCAGTGGGTAGGAGTGGCCTGGGTCCCACTCTGGGGGTGTGGCCTGGGTCCCACTCTGGGGTGTGGCCTTGGTTGCAGTGGGTAGGGGTGGCCTGGGTCCCACTCTGGGGGTGTGCCCTAGGTCCCATGCTGGGGGTGTGGCCTGGGTCCCACTCTGGGGTGTGGCCATGGTTCCATGCTGGGGGTGTGGCCATGGTTCCATGCTGGGGGTGTGGCCTAGGTCCCACTCTGGGGTGTGGCCTGGGTCCCTTGCTGGGGGTGTGACCTGGGTCCCACTCTGGGGCTGTGGCCATGGTTCCATGCTGGGGGTGTGGCCTGGGTCCCACTCTGGGGTGTGGCCTGGGTCCCTTGCTGGGGGTGTGACCTGGGTCCCACTCTGGGGGTGTGGCCATGGTTCCATGCTGGGGGTGTGGCCTGGGTCCCTTGCTGGGGGTGTGGCCTGGGTCCCACTCTGGGGGTGTGACCTGGGTCCCACTCTGGGGGTGTGGCCTTGGTTCCATGCTGGGGGGGTGGCCTGGGTCCCATTCTGGGGTGTGGCCTTGGTTCCATGCTGGGGGTGTGGCCTGGGTCCCTTGCTGGGGGTGTGGCCTGGGTCCCACTCTGGGGTGTGGCCTGGGTCCCTTGCTAGGGGTGTGGCCTGGGCCCACTCTGGGGCGTGGCCTTGGCTGCACTGGCTGGGGGTGTGGCCTGGGTCCCCCGTCTCACCGTGTCTGCCTGTTCACAGCTGTATGTGTTCTCCACCGTCAGCAGGATGGGTCTGGAAGCCACTGTGGGTGAGTACCTGGAGCCTTACTGCTTGCCCCGTGGCCTGGGGAGAGGGGGTGGGGAGTCAGCCAGGGAGCGTGGGCTGCTGTAACAGGAGCAGGTACCCGTCTGGGGCAGAGGCGGGCACTCCTGCCCCAGGCACAGGCTGGCTGTGTGCGGGTTTGCGAGCAGGCCGGGGGGTGGGGGCAGGTGCAGGCTGCCTGGTCTGGGCAGTGCCGAGCCCCAGGTGTCCAGAGCAGGCTGCTCAGGCCAGTCTGCACCTGGACACAGCCCTTGAGTGGCCCCTGCAGGAGCGCACAGCACCCGCACCCGAGGTAAAGGCCAGGCCTAGGCTGGCTCTTGGGCTGCTGCAAATGGCCAAGCCCCTGGCTTGGTGACCTGGGAGCCGGGGCAGGGCCCAGTCCATCTCCTCCCGGCTGGCTTCCATCAGCCACCGGGGCAGTGATGTCACCCTGGGGGACCAGTTGCACGCTCCCCGCCGACGGCACTGACAGAATACACCTCCAGCAGTAAGCCAGCGGTGGGCATGCACAGGTGTGGGTTGGGGGCGGTCCCAGGGAAAGTGACCCAGAAAGCAGCTGCCCGGGACGGTGTCGGCCGCCTCCTGTGGGCAGTGAGAGCGCTCGGGCCAGGTGTGACCGGAGCGCAGCTGTTCCGCGGTCCCCGCGGGGCTGGCAGGACGGCGGCACCGAGACCCACTTCCTGGTGGCGAGAGCCGGGAGGCTGCCTGGAGTCTCCTGCCAGGTCCTGAAGCTTCGCGCAAAGGTCTGTGTGCCGAGAGATGGTCCCCGAAAGGCACGTCGTGGGCCCGCAGTGAGCGTGCCGTAGCCACTGTCGTGACGAGAAAGCCGCAGCCGGGTCCAGCTGAAGGGGGCAGGGTGGCCAGGTGCCAACAGCGGCTGCCGCCCCGGGTGGAGGAACCGGAGCCCGCACCTGGGCCCTCGGGCACCTGGGACTTGAACAGCGCCGGGCACTGCGGGAGGCCGGTGGCGCTGTGTGGCCGCCCTGCCCCCGCCCAGGCCAAGCCGCGCGGTGCTCCCAGGGAACACTGCTCCGCGCTCAGCACCCCTCTGCTTCCCACAGCCATGCTGCTGCTGAGCGGAGCCCTGGTCAGCGGGCCCTACGCGCTCATCACCACCGCCGTCTCTGCCGACCTGGTGAGTGCCCGGGCCATCATCCGCGTGGTCTCGGGCCCCTGGCAGGCCCACGGGGAGGAGCGGGGGGACCTGGGCTCCTCCATCTCCATGTCCCGAGTCACAGACCCAGAGGGACAACCCCGCCCCGCCCCCGGCCATCTCTGCCGGGGGCCTTCCTCCATGGCCTTCATGCAGCCTGCTGGGGGCGGGCGCGAGCAGGAGACTCGTCCGTGTGGGCGTGGCAAACTGCTAGGACCCACACCAGTCCCACACGGGGGCCGCCCTCGTGGGGGAGAGGGAGGATGAGCTTTGGCTGCTCTATCGGACTCTGAGAAAAGCGGGCTGGGGGTGGCTTCCACTGTGTGTGTCTCCCACGTGGGTGTTTACGCTCACAGCTTGGGCACAGTTTGTCCCGGGCGCCGCTGCCCCGGTTTCTTCTCCTTTTGTCGTCCTCAGTGGGTGCTGTTGACCCCGGCCTTGTGCCCGCAGCCAGGGCGCAGCCCTCGTGCCTGGGTCGCTCGGGCCCCTCGCCCTCCCCTGGCATGTGCTGGTATTGAAGCACACAGAGGGGTCTGGCACGCACCACAGAGAGACCCCAGCTGCCGCCGCAGCTCGGGGCAGGGGCGGGAGTCGTTCAGCTCCCGTGCTGTGGTGCCCGGGCGGGGAGCAGCGCTCTGGGCAGGGGTCCCGGGGGGGTTGTGGCTTCAGCACCCTTGCAGCTTGGCTGCCCCGCGAGGCAAGCGAGGGGGGCCTGGGACGGAGCGGAGCGGGCTTTGCGATGGAAGCCATGCTTCGTGATGAACTTGGAGGCCGCCGTCCCCGGGCGGCCGGGCTCTCCCGCTTCTAAGCCGCTGAGACCTGGTTCACCTTGGTGTTTGCTCTCCTCCAGGGCACTCACAAGAGCCTGAAGGGGAACTCGCACGCCCTGTCCACCGTGACCGCCATCATCGACGGGACCGGCTCTGTAGGTGCGCAGACTCATCCTGGCCGACAGGCGCCCCGGCTTCCGGTTGCCTTGGGAGCGTCAGGGTCGGCTGGCCTTCTCACACTGCGCGAGGTCAGCCCGGGGCGGCCAGCCTGTAGGGCTGTCCCGTGTGGCTGGGCGGTGTTGGAGGTGAGGCGGGCACGAGACCAGCTGGACCAGTTCCCCAAGGTCGGGGCTGCGGGCGGTCCCCTGGCTGTGGTCACCGTCCTGTCGGGAGGGGACACACATACAGAAGGGGTGGTGCCAGGAGAAGCGTCCTCCTGGAGCACGCGGGACCCCGGCGGGTGGCGTGTTGTGGAGCACAGGAAGATGAGGACAGGCGGTGGGGGTTGCAAAACACCAGGCCTTCCCAGCCCGCCAGCCAGAGCAGGCCGTGGCCTTGGCCTTGCCCTTCCCCCACCTCTGCAAGCAGCAGTGACTGCTCCCCGCCAGGCAGGACCCCGCCTGCACCGGGCCCTGGGAGCCGGGGAGACGCCCCTGAACCTGAGGTATGGGAGGCTTCGGGGTGTGGAGGCTCTGGGGCTGCAGCCTGGTGCCGCCTGGCCCCAGCACCTGACCAGGGAGCTGGGTGAAGGAGCTTGGGGTGGGTGGGGAGGCGGACCGGGGTCTCAAAGCAGAAAAACCAGTGATAGGCAGACCCGGGCGGCTCAGGAAACCCAGCTCGATCAGAGCCCGGCTCTCCTGCTGCCCTGGGGGATGGGCTGGTGTTTCCCCTCGGCCGCCCCCTGCGGCCTTGTGCTGGCCAGGTGGTGGGTGTCCACGGGACATGGCCTTCATGCTGCCCAAGTGGCAGGTGTCCATGGGACATTGTCTTGTGCTGGCTGGGTGGCAGGTGTCCATGGGACGTGGCCTTCGTGCTGGCCGGGTGGCAGGTGTCCACGGGAAGTGGCCTTGTGCTGGCCAGGTGGCGGGTGTCCATGGGACATGGCCTTGTGCTGGCCAGGTGGCAGGAGTCCTCGGGACGTGGCCTTGTGCTGGCCGGGTGGCAGGTGTCCATGGGACGTGGCCTTGTGCTGGCCAGGTGGCAGGTGTCCATGGGACATGGCCTTGTGCTGGCCAGGTGGCAGGTGTCCTTGGGACGTGGCCTTGTGCTGACCAGGTGGCGGGTGTCCTCAGGACGTGGCCTTGTGCTGGCCAGGTGGTGGGTGTCCATGGGACGTGGCCTTGTGCTGGCCAGGTGGCAGGTGTCCACGGGACGTGGCCTTGTGCTGGCCAGGTGGCGGGTGTCCATGGGACGTGGCCTTGTGTTGGCCAGGTGGCAGGTGTCCTCGGGACGTGGCCTTGTGCTGGCCGGGTGGCAGGTATCCATGGGACGTGGCCTTGTGCTGGCCGGGTGGCAGGTGTCCATGGGACGTGGCCTTGTGCTGGCCAGGTGGCAGGTGTCCTCGGGACGTGGCCTTGTGTTGGCCAGGTGGCGGGTGTCCACAGGACGTGGCCTTCATGCTGCCCAAGTGGCAGGTGTCCACGGGACATGGACTTGTGATGGCCAGGTGGCAGGTGTCCATGGGACATGGCCTTGTGCTGGCCGGGTGGCAGGTGTCCATGGGACATGGCCTTCGTGCTGGCCGGGTGGCGGATGTCCACAGGACATTTCTGGGTGCCCATTGCTGTGTTCCCAGCTCAGGGCCCAGCGTCCTTCCACTGCCCACAGCCTCCCAGCCTCTATGCTGCTGCCCACAGATGCCAGTGTGGCCCCTGCACGGGGCCTTTGCACGGCTGTGCCCTGGGTGTCCCCACCCCGCTGCACAGCTCTGTACCCGTGTCTGCTCAGTGAGCCCCCCTCTGTCCACAGCACTTCCTGCCTTGGCTCTGTCTGGCCTCCCTCCGCTGGGGGAAGCTCCTTGGGGCTGGGAGCGGCCGTGGTGGTCTCTGCTGCGTCCCCCCAGCAAGAACTGACCCTCCGATCCCGGGCATCGGGGATCTCAGGCCGGCCCTGGAGGCCGGGCTCCTCGGTAAGGAGCGGGGTCCACAGCTCCTCAGGCAGGGCCGCCCCCCGCATCTCAGGATCTCCGGCTCCACGCTCCGGCTGCCTCTCCAGGGCCGGCCGCTGTGCCCTGCGCCCAGTGCAGCCTGGGCTAAGAAGCTGGGCTGTGGCTGCTCCCCCAAGAGTCAGCCCAGGCTGGCGTGGGGCCTGGCATGGGCCCAGTGTGGGCCCTGACGTGGGCCCAGTGTGGGTTCTGGCATGAGGTCCTGGCATGGGCTCTGGTGTGGGCCCAGTGTGGGCCCGGTGTGGGCCCGGTGTGGGCTCTGGTGTGGGCTCTGGCATGAGGCCCTGGCGTGGGCTCTGTGTGGGCCCTGGCATGGGCCCTGGTGTGGGCCCAGTGTAGGCTCTGGCATGGGCCCAGCCTGGGCTCTGGTGTGGACCCTGGCGTGGGCTCTGGCATGGGCTGTGGCGTGGGGGCCCTGGCGTGGGGCCTGGTGTGGGCCCAGTGTGGACCCTGGTGTGGGGCCCAGCATGGACTTGGCGTGGGGCCTGGCATGGGCCCGGCGTGGGCCCCTTCACTGCACAGCTCCAGAGATGACTGAATGACGGACACCTTTCAGGGTCCCTCGTGGGGCTGGGGCCAGGGCCGGGACTAGGACAGGGCAGCCCAGTGCCCCCCATGTGGAGTGCACCCACCATTCTCGCTGGCCCACAGAGCACCAAGGAAGCTTCCAGAAGCCTGGAGGACCTTGGAGGAGGGCAGGCGACTCGGGCCCAGTTAGCCGTGTGACCGAGAGGTCGCTGTGGATTTGTGACTCCCTCGGCTCGCCGGCTGCCTGAAGCTAATTTGGAGCTGGGCTGGCAGCCCGGTTGCTATTTTGAGGCAGAGGATCAGAGTTTAAGGAGAGGAGAAAGTACACAGGCAGGTGACGAACCCATTTCCCTGCTGTTCTCTTAACGTGAGGGGGCAGAATCGCGTGGCTGCAGATGGAGGCTGTGCGTCCGCCCGGAGACGGGAGGCAGCCCGCCAGCGCCACCCAAGCCGCCTGCGAGAGGACGGCGGGGTCCACCCTGCAGGGGCCCCAAAGAGGCCGCCGCCATGGTCTCTGCAGCACCCATCCGAGCTCCCCCGGGCTAGTGTGCCACTGTCACGGGGCGGGCGCCCTGAGCCGTTGCCATGGAAACGACATGCCGCTCGTCCCCCGTGAGCGCTGCCCAGCGAGGCCGCAGAGGAACCGCGCGGTGTCAGGAGGAATTGCTTCCCGCCAGGGTCCCCCGCGTGCGCCCGGGGCTGACATCCACGCAGTGACGCGGGGTGAAGGGAGGCCGAGCTGACGCACAGCCGGCCAGGCACTGGTGGGCAAGTGACAGGGCAGGGGTCCACGTGGGCTGCAGTCCGTGCGCTTCCTACAGAGTGGCTGCCCACAGCCCTGCCTTTTCCGGGGTAATTTGTCAGAGACAGAGAGAGACAGAGAAGGAGCTCTGTCCCCGGGTTCACTCCCCAGTCAGCCATAATAGCCAGGCCCGGGCCAGCCAGGAGCCAGGAGCTTCTTCCAAGTCTCCCACATGGAGGCAGGGGCCCAAGCACTCGGGCCATCTGCTGCTGCCTTCCTCTCCGGGGTGTTAGCAGGGAGCTGGATTGGAAGCGGAGCAGCCGGGACTCGACCCAGCGCCCTGGGACAGGCCACCGGTACCGCAGGCAGGTGCCTAACCTGCCGCACGGCAAGACAGCCCTGGGCCTGGGATTTTCTCCGATTTCCTGTGTTTGAGGTAAACATGAGCAGGCCACCTGGGAATTCTTCTAAGAAAATACAGGTGCGCATCGCTGGGTGACTGGGACGCGTTCTGCGAAGGGTGTTGTGGGCAGTTGCGTCCGCCAGCGGTGTTGCTGCCCGGAGACGCCAGGCGGCGCGTGCTGGCCGTGGGTGAGCTCGGCAGGCACTGGCAACCCGCCCGGTCCGCGTCCACCACGGGAGGCGCTCCTGGACCGGTTCTCGGGAGCTCAGCTTCAGAGGTAGGAGCCGGGAGAGGATTCTTCGTGCTCAGGACCGCGCTTCCACCCGAGAAACCGTCCCGCGCGTGTATCCGGCTGCACTCAGTCCCGGTGGGAACACGCACCGAGTGCGTGCCAGGCGTCCTTACACACGTGTGTGGGGGCTCTTTCCCTTCTTTGTTCCTGCATCTTTTAGAACTCGTTTGACATCATTGTAGCGCAGCGCTGTGGCACAGCAGGCTAAAGCCCCGGCCTGCAGTGCCGGCATCCCGTGTGGGCACCAGTTCAAGCCCCAGCTGCTCCGCTTCCAATCCAGCTCCCTGCTAATGGCCTGGGAAGGCAGTGGAAGATGGCCCAAGCGCTTGGGCCCCTGCGCCCGTGTGGGAGACTCGATGGAGCTCCAGGCTCCTGGCCTCAGCCTGGCCATTTGGGGTCCGACCCAGCAGACGGGCGATCTCTCTTTCTCTCCCTCTCCCCCTTCTCTGCAGTTCTGCCTTTCAAATAAATAAATAACCTGTTTTAAGTGTTTTTACTTGTTCATTGGAGAGGCAGGGGAACAGCTACAGAGAGCCCCCCCCCCCCACTGGCTCACTCCCCACCTGTCCTCCGGGGCTGCACAGGCCAAAGCCAGGAGCTCAACCCGGGTTTCCACGTGGCTGACGGGAACCCAGGTGCCCCGCCGGGCTGTCTCAGCAGGCAGCAGGCGTCCGCGGTCAGAGCCGGGAGGAGAAACGGGTGAAGGCCGGAGCTCCAGCGTGGGCCGCGGCGTCTTCCCGGAGCCCTGACTGCTAGGCCAGTGCCGGCCTCTGGGCTCTAGACCGCAGGGACGTCGCGCACTGTGCCAAGAACCCAGACACTTCAGGGCGTCTCTGCACACTTCTCCTGCAAGTACTGAACGTGCGCACTCAGCGCACACGTGCGTAGCTTCCCCAGCCACTCACGGTGCAGTGCAGCCCTGCCCCTCGCTCGGGGCCACTCCGCGGGCACTGCCCCGTGCGCGACCCAGGGCTCCGGCGCCTGGTCTTGACTTGGCCCAGCCCTCACCATCGTGGCCGTCTGGGGAGTGAACCAGTGGTTGGAAGATCTCTCTCTGTCTCTCTAACTCTCTCAAATAAATAAATATTTAAATATAAAATAAAAATTGATTTTAAAAATCATAATTAACCCTAACCCTAATGTATCTTTAGAAGTGGTTCCAGAAAAAAAGATGGCACTGGTTGAAAACACACACGCACAGACTCGCACACACACACACACACACACACACCTGCATCCACATGCACACTTATACACACTCATTCACACACTCAAACACGCTCACATCCACACACACTCATACATTCACACACATGCATTCATACACACACTCACACATGCATTCATACACACACTCATTCACACACTCATTCACACACACACATGCATTCACACACACACTCATTCACACACACTCATACATTCATACACACACTCATTCACACACACATACACGCATTCATACACACACTCATTCACACACACATACACACACTCATTCACACACACATACACGCATTCACACACACACTCATTCACACACACACTCATTCACACACACTCATTCACACACACATACATGCATTCACACACACTCATACATTCATACACACACTCATTCACACACACACGCATTCATACACACACTCATTCACACACATGCATCCACACTCACACTCACTCACACTCACACCCTCACTCGCGTCCACACTCACACTTGCGTTCACACCCGCGCTCGCACTCACACGCCCTGCCAGCCCTCTTACCTAGCGGTGTGAGGGAGGGTCCGTGTGCCGGCCTGGCTGGTTTCAGTTGTCCTGCCCAGAGCCCGCCTGACCCAGCCCCACGCCTGTGTGTCTGCCTCGTTGCAGGAGCGGCGCTGGGCCCTCTGCTGGCTGGGCTGCTCTCCCCGTCCGGATGGAGCAACGTGTTCTACATGCTGATGCTGGCCGACGCCTGTGCCTTACTGGTAAGGGCTCCCCTGCCGGGGCAGCCACGGCGGGGGCGGGCCCGGGGCCACGTGCCGCGGGAGGGGCAGCTCCGCTCAGAACCAGGCAGACTCTGTTGCCCTGTAGTCTCAGGGGGACCGCATAAGGTCAGGGGCACTGAGCGCCTTGGCTTTGGCCTCTGCCCAGTCAGCCAGTGAGGGCGTGGGCTGGGCGTGGCCTGGGGCCTCCCTGTGCCACAGCTTCTGTCTGTGTAAGAGGGCCAACGACAGCGGCGGTGGTGGTGATGGTGTTGGGTGGGGGGGTGGTGGTGGTGATGGTGATGATGGTGGTGGTGATGGTGGTGGTGGTGGTGGTGGTGGTGGTGATGGTGGTGGTGGTGGTGGTGGTGGTGGCTGTGGCTGTGGCAGGAGCTGAAAGAGATCATGCCCAGACCTGGGGAGCACGGCCTTGTCCCCCACAGCAGCCGGCAGCTGTCCACGTCCCCCACGGCAGCCGTCACTGTCTACTCGGGGAGCACACCCTGGGCCCCCACGGCAGCTGTCCACTCGGGGAGCACACCCTGGGCCCACGGCAGCTGTCCACTCAGCACGGCCTGGGCCCACGGCAGCTGTCCCACCCGGGCAGCGGCCTGAGCCAGGTCCCAGCCGGAGGGACAGAGCGAGTGCGGGGGCAGAGGCGCTGCCCCTCTCCTCGGGGCCCCTGCTTCCTGCTCCCCCTGCGCTGAGAAGGTCAGGTTCTCCCCAGGGAGAGGACAACACGGACGCGGAGGCCGTCGGACGCCTGTCCTCACCAGCCGCTCACTGAGAGCCACGTCTGTCTTCCTGCCTCACCAGAACAGGAACCCAGGCTTGAGCCCAGGAAAACTGAGTTGAGAATTCTAAATATCAGTGCTGCAGATTAAATGAAAGTCTTGTACCAGTTCTGTGGGGGCTGGGAACGGAGTCCCTGCTTGGGACCAGCACAGATCTCGGCTCAGAATCAGCAGGGCAACCAGCTCCGCAGGCCATTGTGTTTTTAAGATGTGTTTGTTTATTTATTTGAGAGGCAGAGTTACAGGGAGAGAGAGAGAGAGAGAGAGAGAGGTCTTCCTTCTGCTGGTTCACTCCCCAGATGTTCACAACAGCTGGGACTGGGCCAGGCTGAAGCCAGGAGCCAGGAGCTCCATCCAGGTCTCCCATGTAGGTGCAGGGGCCCCAGCACCCGGGCCATCTTCCACTGCTTTCCAAGGTGCGCCCACTCTGTCTCCCACTCTCTGCCACTCTGCCTTTCAAATAAATA